ATGGTTTCTCTTTCTCCTTTCCAATCTATCAACCACTATCCTTACTGCACTGGCCACACTCTCCCCCAGTACAATGCTATTAGAAGTAGTGATAACGGGCAGGGCACTCGTGTCTTGCTCCAGACCTTGGGGTGGGGGGGGGTACGTCTTGAATATTTCATCGTTAACATGTTAGCTGTGAGTTTTTTTCTCAGATGATCTTTATCAAATTGGAGATGTTTCTTCTTTTTTCTAGTTTGCTATACTAGAAGAGTAGAGTAGTCCATACTGACAGTTGCCCTGTTCCTGTATTTCTATTGCATTTTATTCTATCACACAAATAACCACAGTTATTTATTGTTGAAGGACATTTTGGTTAGTTACAGTTTTTGGTTATGAATAGTGCACCTCAGAACATTCCTATTTGTGTCTTTTGGTGTACAGGTTTTGCACCTGTTCAGTACCTATGTAGGAATGGAATTACTGGGTCATAGAGTAGGAGATTCTCAGCTTTAGTGGACACGTCAGTTTTCCAAAGTGGTTGTAGCAGCTTGCACATCCACCAGCAGCTTTGGAGCATCCTGGTTGCTCCACATGCTCACGACACCTGATATTGTCTTTTCAGACGTGCAGGTGGGTTAGTAGGTATCACGTTGTGGCTTTAACTTGCATTTTAAGCTGAACACCTTTTATTATTATTCAATGGCTCAGGATAATCTGTTTTGTGAAATGCCTCTTCAGCTCTTTGTCCATTTTTCTAGTTTGTGTCTTAACTGATTTTTAGTAGTTTCTTATAGAAGTCCTTTGAATAGATACATGTACTGCAGACATCTTTCCAGGTTTGTGGCATGCTTTTTTTTTTAATACTTTTTAAAAGCTGATTTGTTTGCATAATCTCTACACCCCACGTGGGATTTGAACTCATGACCCCAAGATCAAGAGTCACATGTTCTACCGACTGAGCCAGCCAGGCACCCCTGTCGTCCCTTTTCAGATAGTTGAAATTAGTTTTTTTCCTTTTATGATTAGTGCTGGTTTTGGTTCTAAGAAATCTTTGTGTGTCCCAAAGTCATCAAGCCTGTATTTTCTCTTCTGTATTTTTTTCCTAAAAGTCTTAAACTTTACCTTGAACATTCAGCTCTACATTTCACCTGGAATTTTTATGTCTGATGTGACACAGGCAGTGAGGATTATATTTGTTTTTCTATACTGATATCCAGTTGATGTGACACCATTATTGAAAAGACTATTCTTTCCCTACTGCCCTGCAATGTCTTTATGTATGTGGGTCTATTCCTGGACTTCTCTTCCATTGTAAACCACATTGTCTCAACTACTGTAGCTTATGGATAAGTCTCGATATCTAGGCTTGTTGGTTTTTAAGATTGTAATAGCTGTATTTTGACCTTTGTATTCCCATATAATTTTTATTTTTATTTTTAATTTTTCAACGTTTATTTATTTTTGGGACAGAGACAGAGCATGAACGGGGGAGGGGCAGAGAGAGAGGGAGACACAGAATCGGAAACAGTCTCCAGGCTCTGAGCCATCAGCCCAGAGCCCGACGCGGGGCTCGAACTCACGGACTGCGAGATGGTGACCTGGCTGAAGTCGGACGCTTAACCGACTGCGCCACCCAGGCGCCCCCCCATATAATTTTTAAAAAATATTTGAGAGAGAGAGCACGAGCAGGGGGAGGGTAGAGAGAGAGGGGGAGAGAGAATCCCAAGCAGGATCCAGACCCGCATCGAGCCCGACATGGGATTCGATCCCACAACCCTGAGATCGTGACCAGAGCTGAAATCAAGAGTTGGGCGCTTAACTGAGCCACCCAGGCGCCCTTCCCATATACATTTTAGATGTGCCAGTTTCCACCATAAAACTTTCTGGGATTTTGGTATTTGCAGTGAAACTATAGATCGATTTGGGGAGAATAATCTGTGGGATGTTGAATCTTCCAATCCATGACTATGTTACTCTATTCGTTTAGGTCTTCTCTCAACAATTGTACTTTTCAGTATTTCTTCTTTCATTAGATTTATTTTCTGATATTTGATGTTTTAGGATCCAACTCTAAATGATACGGTTTTCTTTTGTTGCGAGATATACGTTGTACACATACACACACAACTTGACTTTTGTATATGAATCTGTATCCTATCACCTTGACTATAGATATTTATCGATTATCTGGATTTTCACGTACACAAATTCCACTTCTGAGTTTTGTTTTTCCTTTCCAGATTCTTAAACTGTTTCCTTTTATTGCTTGACTGGGCTGACTAGGGCCTCCAGCACAAGGTCTTATGGGGTGGTGGCAGCAGGCACGTGTATACCTTGTTCTTTATCTCAGAGGCACCCAGTGCTCACCTATAAGCAGGATGGGTTTTTTGCAAACACATCAAGGAAGTTCCTGGTCCTTGGGGCATGGCTTTATTTCTAGTATACCCTATCCCAAGTGTAGACCAAATTTCCCTAATAAACTCCTCAGAGGCATCAGGCTCTTGGGTTGGTCTTTAGTCACCAATGTCATCAAAACAGGGATATTATTGTTCTTAAGACTGATTTATAGAACTTAGGTCTTTTATTTTTTAAGTAGGCATCACGCCCAATGTGGGGCTTGAACTCACAACTCTGAGGTCAAGAATCGCATGTTCTACTGACTGAGCCAGCCAGGCACCCCTGTTAAGATTATTATTATTTAAAGAAAAAGAGTAGGCAAGAGGGGAAGAGAGAGAGGGAGAGAATTCCAAGAGGGCTCCATGTTCAGCACAGAGTCTGATGTGGGACTTGATCCCATCACCCTGGGTCATGACCTGAGCTGAAATCAAGAGTCAGATGCTCAACCAACAGATTTATTCGGCCCCCTCTCCTCCACCACCAGTTAAGATCTTTAAATTTGTTTTCAGTCTCTAAAGAGACCTTATTTTTTTTTTTTTTTTTTTTTTTTTAATTTTTTTCAACGTTTATTTTTATTTTTGGGACAGAGAGAGACAGAGCATGAACGGGGAGGGGCAGAGAGAGAGGGAGACACAGAATCGGAAACAGGCTCCAGGCTCTGAGCCATCCGCCCAGAGCCCGACGCGGGGCTCCAACTCACGGACCGTGAGATCGTGACCTGGCTGAAGTCGGACGCTTAACCGACTGCGCCACCCAGGCGCCCCGAGACCTTATTTTCTTGTCAGCTCACAGATTTAGATTTTCTGCCCAGTATTATAAATAGCATTTCTAATTTTTCAAGATCTATAGTTTGCCATAATGCCAGAACTGTGTATGTTGCATTTGACTTCCTTTTTAAGGCCAATTTGACAAGTCTTTTCAAGGAGTGTGGTTTGAAATATTTCTACTATGTTTGAATATATTTCTACCATTTTACAATGTGTTTATATCCTGCTTTTTCTATGCTCTCCCCACCCTTATGTTCTGGTTGATCTTTCTCCAAATTACACCCTATTTTCTGGTATCTTTTTAAATTTTTTTTTTTATATTTTTATTATTGAAAATATTTTAAACGTTTATTTTAGAGAGCGCAAGCAGGGGAGGGGCAGAGAAAGAGGGAGGGAGACACAGAATCTGAAGCAGGCTCCAGGCTCTGAGCTGTCAGCACAGAGTCTGACACAGGGCTCGAACTCACGGACTATGAGATCATGACCTGAGCCGAAGTCGGACACTCAACCGATTGAGCCACCCAGGTGCCCCTGTAGACTGCTTTTTGTACAGGCTTTGCATGAGGAATGGGGCATGAACCGTGAGATCATGACATGATCATGACAGTGTCCCTGCCCGTCAGGATCATGACATGAGCCCAAATCAAGAGTTGGACGCTTAATCAATCTATCCGGGCATTCCCTTTTGAATTTTTTAACTTACATAATTGGCTTTTTCATACTTTTTTTTTTTCTTTTTTAAGTAGGCTCCACACCCAACATAGGGCTTGAACTCACAACCCTGAGATCAAGAGTTGCATGCTCTACCTATTGACTGAGCCAACCAGGCACCCCATATTTTTTTTGAATATACTGCTCAGGACTCAACTGTGCTTCCTGAAGCTGAGTATTTATCACCAACTCTGGAATCCCACTGGAAGCTGACTGGAGCTTCTCCTTCACAGCTTCCCCTTTTGCTTTATTTTGGTAATTTCATTGTTCTCTGGTTTTCTCTTCATCTAGATCTACTGCTTAAAGTTAAAAATGCTGTTTAAACTTTAGTGACATTTCTAGTTGCCCTGTGTCATCCTCTTCTTTTAGTTTGGGGTCTTCCTATCTGCTTAGAGGGTCACAGTGGGTGGGAGTAGGTGGCTGTTGGGGGCTGGCTGCACAAAGGTTTTTGAGTCCTGGAGCAGAGGCAGGACATGGAGCCACACCTGTGCTGGCAAGAGACACGGATGGGCGGTTGGGTGGCCTTTAACAGGAGCCGGAACAGAGCAGTTCAGGAAAATGCAGTGTGATTGTTGGTGCATCTGCGCTGTGATGAGTCAGTTGTGAAGTGCATTAACCTGGGCCCCTAGAGGCTTCCTGGTGGGCTGCACTCTGGGTGGGAGAGGGAACACTGCCCTGCTGCCTTCCCAGCATATCCAGGAATCACCCCTCAGCTGAAGGTACACCTGGCACTCCACACTTTTGCTGGTTTTTATTTTGTTCACATTGGTTAAATCTTAAGTTGAATATAATTTTTTATATACAAGAAAATACTTCATGTACCTAGGGAATGTGTTGGGAATGTGTCCAGTGCAAACGAATTATTCACACCCATGCAGAGAGTGTCGCCAGAGGATTGTCAGTCATCTCAGTCTCACGTGTCACATGTGGGTTACACTAGGAAGGAATGGATTGCCAGGCTCTGCATGGTGGACTTTTGTCTTATTTGTCCTATAAAAATAATTCCAATGGATGGAATGACGGGGCCACCAGCAGTTCACCCCCTTTGACCACGCACAGCAGCCAGGGTGGGGCTGTGCTCTCTCAGCTCTATGATTGTGGGATGGTTGGGGGGCGGCCATGATAGCTGGTCCAGCTCCACCCTCAGTAGGGGATGTCGTTCTGATAGTACTGGATCATGTCGTAGGTCCGGCTCCTGGAAGGAGAGTGGAGGGAGGCTGTAAGGAGACTGTCTCGGGTCTGGGTCCCTCTCCCCGCTGCGTCCTTCATGTCTGCCTGGAGAGCTGCATTGGGGAAGTGCCCCTTTTCTCCTCTCTGAAGGTGCAAATGCAAAATCGCAGACCCTCTAGCCTCCCTGCCAGCCTCTCTTCTAGGGACACTCCTTTCCCCACCTGTGACAATGACTGTGTGAGCTCCTTTCTGCTGTCTCCTCCTGGGCCTCCTCAGCCAAACACCACTCTGCCCCACACTCTGGTAGTAGCTGGACTAAGAGATTCCCAAAGATATTCCGTGTCCCCAGACATAGTGACTGACTCTGCCCCCTGGCCTGCCACGTGGCATGCAAATGACAGCTCATTCTCCTCCTGTCACACCCTGCAACCCACGCCCGTCCTACTCTGCCAACAAAACAATGGAGACCTCCCTCGTCCTGCCTTTTACACCCCTCTTGTCATGTTCCTCATGCTTGCCCTTGAGCTGCCTCCCGTTCCTCTGCTCCTGTTAGGCCCACCCCAGCCGGCTCGCCGTCTTCCTTGGGTTCCATGTCTGCACCTCCCAGAGGGGAAGCTTGGCTCCCCGACTGCCCAGGTGCTTAGCCGCTCTGCCTTCAGAACTGGAACCCACCTCTTCTCATGGCTCCACTATCATAATGGCCAATTGGCCTGTCTCCACCCTGGGCCACCTGTCACTGCCCAGGCGGCAGCGTGAGGAAGGTGTGGGGAAGCAGGGGTGGGGCTGAGGCCTCTTCTGCTCCTCAGCCAGCCCACTGGGCTGTGCTCGCCTCCTTGCATGCCCTTTGCACCAGCAGCTTGCTTGGCCTCGCAGGCTGGGTCCCAGGTGGGCACGGTTTCTGGCCTTTAGGCCTCTGTTGGGTGTTCCCCTCAGCATATCCCTGGCCCCTCTAACCCAGTACCCTGTCACTCCATGAGGGCTCCCTTCAGGAGCTGTGGTACAGAGTACCCTGGGACAGCAGCATCTTCGTCACTTTGGCCCAGGCGTGGCCCCACGCAAGGTGCCTGGAGAACATTGGTGTGTGGCAGCAGGCTCCGGAGGGGAAAGTGGAAGGGGGAGACTCACCTGTTACTGAGGAAGCAGCTCTGAATGACCTTCATGATGAAGTTTGCAGCCTCTCTCTCGGTCATGTTGGGGCTGAACCTGTGCCTGGGGGGCGAGGGCTGTGTCAGGGCTGTCCCCTGCCACCTGTGGAAACTGCTCCCTCTAGGCTACTCTCCCGTGGGATGCGGTCTTGCTAACAGACCACTTAGCATTTGTGGGAATTTGTTCCCTCCTGGGAATAGCTGTAAGGGGGAGGGGCACTGTTCCCAGCTGGCTCTGGAGGGCCTCTCCCCTTCCCCAGCAGAGCCTAGGGCTAAGCCGCTGCAGCCTCAGGCTGGAGGTAAGGCCTGGCACTGCATCCTTGAGAAATGAAGGGATACCTGGAACATCTGCAGCCTGGTGCAGTGACAGCGCCTCACCAGGAACCCTGTCTGCTCTGGGGTTCTGAGGAGAGCGCTTGGCCTTGATAATGATCACATTTACCAGCACTTGAGAGGCTCCCACCTTGAGGGGACAACTGCCCCCCAAATGGCCTGCGCATCTGCCCAGGACCTACTTCAAGAGCTTGATTGTCTGGCCACGGAAGCAAGGCAGGCCCGTGTCCAACATGAGAGTGACGAGAGAGACAACTGCATCCATGTAGGGCCTGTGGAGAGACAGGGAGGGAAGGGGAAGGAGGCTGGCCTGAGCAGGGTGGCCTTGCCTGCACTCCTGCAGCCCAGCCACCACCCAACAGCTGCACGTGTCGGCCCACCTCCCTGCAGCTGCCAGGTGGGGGCTGCTCACACATCCTTGAATGGGCTGAGCATCCTGTCCCGGTCTGCCCACCTGAGGCCTCTGGCCATGGTTTCTGTGCCTGGCTGAGGAAGCGCAGGCATGCAGGGCAAACATACCCTGACCCTCCTTTTCTCGTGGGGCAGGTGCACTGAGTGGGCGTGACATAGGCTCCAACAGACTCTGGGTTGGAGTCCAGGCTGCTGTGTGGCCTTGGCTCTGTGACACTCTGAAGCCAAGACAGTAAGTCTTCAGGGTGCAGCTGGGAGGTGGCAGATGCTCACGCTTGGGTGAAGGGGTGAATGGCGTGCTCACAGTGAGGAGCCCAAGGTGTTGCCAGGCAAGGCCACACCCAGGAGACTACAAAATGTGGACACTGACACCCGGAGCACTGACACCCAGAGCAGAGACACTGGCACAGGTGGGCAGAGTGGTGATGGGAAGGCAAGGCCCAAGCTGCCTGGACCAGCAGGCATCCTCTCGAACCTGCCTTGCTCTCTCTGAACGGCAGTCCCTCGATCCACAAAGGAGCCTGAGACGGCCCCGTGGGACCTCTGAGGGATCTTGCAGGACAAGCGGCACCCAGGACTGGTGCCTGACCACCCTCCTCCCCACTGTCTCGGTACCCCCACTGGCCCCTCCCTGGGGCTCACCGCACGGCCAGGTAGCCACGGACACACATCTCCATGAACCATTTGAAGGGTGTGGCCTCCATCTTGCCCCCCATGATCATCACCATCTCATCAGTCAGCTTGATGTCTGGTTCCCAGCCAAGGTTGCCACCCGGTGAGCTTTCAAACATGAAGCCAAAGTCTGCAAAACCCCCAAAGCCATTCGTGACAAGATCAGATGACAGAGCAGAGATATGGGCGTGCTTCAGCCAGGGCTTGGAGCCACAGGCTCCCTACACCCCACAAGCTGGCCATAGGCCATGTTTTCTTGGAGATGGTAGGGGCAGTGGAGCGGGGGGGTGACAGCAGGCAGGAGAGAAAAGAGGTTATGGAGGTGGGGAGCCAGGCTGGAGCGGAGATGAGGCTGGCCCCGGGGCTAGATGAGCTGTGCTCTCCCTGGTTCCAGTTTTCAACCCCAGAGTGCCCCATGCACTGTGGTACCGCTGCTACTCACCCCCACAGCCTAGTAGCCAACAGCTCTGGTCTCAAAGCTGGACTTGAACCCTGACTGGCTGGGTGACCTGAGCATGCTTGGCTCCTCTGTGGGATGGGGATTGGTGTCCTGCCCTGGGCTCTAGGGGGTGAAGGGAGAGGAGGAGGGTGGCTCTGGGAGCTGGCTGACCGATGTGGATGATGTGGCCCTTCTTGTCCAGCATGATGTTGCCGTTGTGCCTGTCCTTGATCTGCAGCAGGAACAGCAGGAGGCTGTAGGCAGCCATGCTCCGGATAAAGTTGTAGCGAGCCTGTGTGGAGAGGGCCCAGGTGCTCACGGATGGCCCTAAGGCTGCACCTCCCAGGACCTTTGGGCATTTTCCTGCCTTGTTCCTGGGACCCCAGGGCCTACAGGTGTTCTCTGGGCTCTTGTTTCTAGCCTTGGAGGTAGAGCCCAAATCAGCAGGCCAGATCTTGGGAACAGGAGTGACAAGTGACTGTGTCTGGGGGTTTAGGGGTTTAGCCCCTTCCTCCCACACCCACGAATTTGCTTTCTTCTGGGGAGTCCATTTCAAGGTTCCTTTGAATCCCAAAGAAGGTTATGAGGTGCCCTTGTTTTACCCCCAAACGTACAAGGACTCAGAAAAGCAGGGAAAGTGGGAAGCAGGGTGCTGGCCCATAAGCAGTGCTGGGAATGGTGGGATGGAGAGCACAAGCAACCTCTGGTCTGGGGGCTGCCCCGCTGGTCACCTGCTGGAAGGCCAGGGTGGACTCGTCCCCATATTGGCGCGTGAAGTAATCATACATGCCGAAGTCCGTCTGGCGGCCCAGCTGGTCCCGAGAGGTACAGTCGGGGATGCACTCAATCACTCCGCACTGGAGAGGAAGGGCCAGGTGCTGAGGCCTGCAGGCAGGACCTGTCTTGGCCTAAGGCATCGGGAACACCCCCTGGGCTCCTGGGAACTTACCCCAGGGGCGGTGGCCACCACCCGGTATGGGAAGACAAAGAGGTCCAGGCCAACCAGCTGGAAGATATTCTTGAAAAGGTCAATAATCTGCAGGGCCAGCATATCCTGGAGACCAGGGAAACAAGGGGTGGTCAGCTGGCCGCCTCCTGTGCTCTAGTCCACATGACTGCTAGCAGCCCTGCCAGTGAAGAGGGAGAGAGGGAAGGAGAGAGGGAAGGAGAGAGGGAAGGAGAGAGGGAAGGAGAGAAAGGGAGGCCATGGCCAAGCAGGAGTCTGGAGCATCTGGCCTCACTGCATACCATGCTGGGCTGGGCTCTGACCACTGGGCACCGGGCTAGACTAAGGCCATGCTGTCTAGTGGGGGATGCAAGTCAGGAGTGCCTGTCCTCCAAGGCAGTTCCCTCTGGGCGGCCAGGGGATGGGCAGTGGGTGGGAGCTGCTGGAGAGACCCCTGGGTTTGGCAGAAAGCCCTGGTTTCCTCTGTGGCACCTCAACCCAATGTGGGAAACAAAGATTGTGGTTCAGCATGTGAGGTGTGACCCCTAAATGCACCCGGAGCCTTGGGAAGAGGGCAGGCCTGGCCCCACTCACTACCTGTCGGCAGTCATCTCCCACTTTGAAGATGGCCGCCTGCCATGAGATCTTTTGGCCATCAGCCTCCTGTGTGCCACACTCGTCCTCAGAGTCTGAGCGGCACCGAAGACCTGTGTGTGGGCGGTGGAGAGGAAGCCAGTTAGCCTGGAGGCAGGGAGAGGCCCTCGGGGCCAGGGCAAGTCCTGCTCACCTGCCTGGAACCCTGGGAATCTTGGGGATTGTCTCTGCAAAGCCCCAAGGAGGCCAAATGAGGCCCAGCAGACAACTGGGGTCAGCAGATGGAGCCACGAGGCCAGGGATCTCTTCTGAAGAATGTTTAGGCTTAGATGGAACTGAAGATAGAGCCCCTTTTTCATTGGAAATGGGGACCCAGGTGTGCCTGGGATCAGCAGAGGGCACTATGAACTGGGGGGCAGAGGTGTGTGTCTGTCTGCATCCTGGGGTGCCTGGGAGGACCTGGGGGCCAGAGTGCAGGGAAGGCCATGGAAGGCATGTCCCCATACTGGCAGGGGACCACACCTATTCTAAAATTCATGCCCACTCAAAACTGCAGAATGTGACCTTTTTTGGAAATAGTATCTTTGCACATGTAGTCAAGTTACTGAGGGTTAGGGTGGGCCCTTATCCAATGACTGGTGCCCTTATCAGAGCAGGAAAATCTGGACATGGGCACACAGGGAGAAAGCCTTGAGAAGACAGAGGCAGAGGTCGGAATGACGAAGATGCCAAGCATCACCAAAACTTGCCAGCAACCACCAGAAGCTGGGAGAAATACACGGAACAGATTCTACCCATCTTCAGAAGGAGCACGGCCTGGCCGACACCCCAATGTGGCACTTCTGGCCTCCAGAACTGTGAGAGAATAAATTTCTGTTGGTGAAGCCACCCAGGCTGTGTAACCTGCATGGCACCCCCCAAAGCTCTGGGCTACTCAGCCTCAGGAAGGTGCCTCCTGGACTCAATGGCTGACCTGGGGCCGGTCTCCAGGTGTCTCTGTCACCATATATAAGCTCTGTGCCATTCCTAAACAAGGGCTCAGACCCAGCGTGGATGGAGGTCATCTTTCACAGGGAGCTGGTAATAAACTAAATATGCCCCCTAAAACTGGCATCATCCAGAGAAAACACTTAGATCCCAAACCGTGTCAGAGTTTCTTCACTGACCTTCTTTTTCGAGTTCACTAACACCACATCGTTTCACCTTAAACTTAGCCAGATACGGGGCTTTTGCAGCACTGCAAAACAACAGAAGGAACATGGGTGCTGGAGCAAATGAGAACTTTGTGCAAGGGAACTGCCGAAAGACAGGCGGCCTCTCACCTCTGCATGGGTGTCCCGGACTTGTAGTCGATGTCCAATACGATGGCCTCGGGGTTGCTGGGCAGGTAGCAGCCTGTGCAGGGACAGAGGGCGAAGTTACAGGGAGCCCCAAGATGACTCCCTGCCCCCAGATGGGGCTTCTAGGTCCTCATCTGAGGCACCGATATTTTATCCTGTGGCCATTACAGGTCCATCCTCCCTGATCTGTGGTCTTTTCCTGGACCCTTCCTGATATCTAACAAAGGAGCTGCCACCTCCCAGGAGACACTTCTCCAGGAGGACACACCAACACTCAGCTTTACAGACTTAGCACACTGCTCCTCGGGGCTCCACTGGCCGACCAGTGCCAGGTGGGGAGCTGCCTGCTCTTACAGGGCATGTGCAGGAGCTTTCTACCCTGCCTCCATTTACCTGGAACACCCTCAGTTCTTACACTCACCCACTGGCTGTAGCTCCCCTCTCTCAGCACACATGTCAAGTAGGGAGGACAAGAGAAAGCCTATTCCTGGCCAAGGAACTGGCAGTTCCCCTGGGGGGCTGGGGTGTGCTCCCTGAGACCCAGGAAGCGGGGGAAAGATCCTGGCTAGGGAGTGGGCTTCTAGGAGAGGCCCTGACACAGGAAGTCCTGGGACTCCTGGGAAGCAAAGCGAGGCCTTGCTGTGGGGTCAGGTGGGCTTTGCCACCAGGGGAAGGAGGGGCAGAAGGAACATGCTGTTCCCTCAATGCCCTCACACCGTCCTTCCCTGGCCAGTTCTGGTCTCTCTCCCAGAAGCACAATCACTGCTCTGCCCTGGAGTCCTGGCTGGCTTCCCAGTGCCTCCAGGACAAGACCCGGCAGCATGGGCTGCAAGGGTCTGGGAGCCTGCTGACCAGGGAAACTGCAGCTTGTGTGGACGTCGAGCTTCTTTGAGCTGAGCTACTGTTTACACTGGGCAGGGCAGGTGGCTCAACAAGGGTCAAGGAAAGGTCAGCCAGTGTGGGCACCCTCAGCCCAGTACACCTGTGACACTCCCACCCATGCCCACAGTCTGTGCAGCCTGTGTTGCTCCTATTCCACTGGAGTTCAGGAAATTTCTAGAATCATGGCTGCCAAGGACAGTGTCTGGGCTTTAAGAAAAACAGAAAGCAACAAGGAAGATAAAGAGTATCTGCTGAGAAGTAGCTCTCAGCTCACCAGGGGCAGATTATGGAGAGGGACACCAGTGCCCCAGGGCCCAGGCTCATGTGGGCTGGCCGCCTCCCTGATCCCGGTGCCTACCCACACTGCCCACCCACAGGAAGAGGCCCATCTCATCCTGCTCACCAGGCTGCACTTTTACTTCAGACAGAGCCGACAGGCATGCCTTCTTTCTCTCGTCGCCTTTAGGGTAGGGCCTGAGAAACAGGACAGAAATGCTTGGCTTTGTCTCTGCAGGAACTGGCCTCTGGGGCTTCTGGGGGACAGCCCAGAGCCCCTCCTGTCTGATTCTCCTTTCCTCTCCTCGTAGTTCTAGCTACTACTGAAGGCTCTGCTAGACCAGTTCTTCCTGGACCAGGGTGGAGTTTTCTGGCTGTCACTGCCCCTTGCCTGTGTGGGGTGTGTGTATGTTGCTGTCAGAGGCACACAGGGGACACAGTTGGCTCTGGGGTCTATGCTCAAGTGCTGGCTCTGTTGTTTACTTGCAGCATGACCTTGGGCAGGCCCCTTTGTCTTTCTGCATCCCTAGGATGAGGATGACAGGGTAAAGTGGAATCAGGTGCCTGACATGATGCCCAGGAAACACCACCTCCCACTCCTTTATTTTTGCGGGCTAGAAGCTGCTGCATCACCGCTCTACTTAGTACCAGGCCCAGAAAAGGGCCTCAGGGCACACAGCCTAGGTCACTTGGTGACCAAGGTGCCAGGGAACAGCCCACGGAATGAGGCACTTGAGAAAACAGGAAGCCAGTGCTCCCCCTGCCAGGGCCTCTCCCAGGCACTTGGCCAGTTGACTCCAGGGCCCCGTCCCACATAAACTGGCAGTGCCACAGATGCCCCAGGATGGCATGAGCCCTCACAAATGGATGGCCCAGGAGGTAAATCAATAAAACAACATTGGGAGTTACAAATGAGTCTGGTTTTCCTAACACTCTTCAAAACTTGGAGAGAGCAGAGTGGCTTCAAGTTAGGGGACAGTATCTAGAATGAAAGATATGTTTTCTGAAATTTGCATGGCTGTGCATTTTGCTATACTTTCAAGAGACTTGAATTGCCAGGGCAGTGATTCCCAACCCTGGCTGTTCATTAGAACCAGTGCGGGCCCTCCATGCAATTCCCACAAGCCAGGACTGATGCCACTTACTTGATGATAGCAGACACATTGGTGATCTTGTTAAAGAAATCAAATTCCCGCTGGTAGAAGTCCTTGGCTGGGCCTGACAAGGAGCCTGTGATCTCCTCCACTAACTGCTCCAGGAGGTCGCCGATGTCAGCTGGCAGAGAAACCAAGAGGGTGAGCCTGCAGCCATGCCACAGAAGGCCCTCCAGGAAACCCCACACATCTGCCAGATGTACAGTCCAGATGTCCAGGTGTCCCCCAGCAGCGAGGTCAGACATCCTGAGTGTGGTCTGCAGATGCCTGGAGGGTCCCTGGGACCCTTCAGCAGGCTCCCCCCAGTCAAAACCATATTGACAGGCTGTTTGCCTTCCTTGTTGTGTAGACACCTGCGAGGCTGTGCACAAGCCATTGGCCAAGGTGCTGGTGGTCAATGGATCTTCATGGCTCTGCTCCCACAGTATAAACAAAAGCCAGTGTCACTAAGAATGTCCCTGGTGAGGTGATGAGCATTGACTAATCTGACTGAACTCTACCCTGAGTGTATCTTTCTAACATTCTGTGTGTGATGAACTGGACAGTGTCCGGAGCCTCCTGCTGTATGTGAAGCACGCGGATGCTGTGGTCTCAAGGAACAGCATCTTGTGTTGGTGTGACTTTCGGGCTAAACTAATCTCTTTTTTCAGGGAACATCATTTTTTACTTGAAAGAGTGACTGACAGGCAAAAATAGAGTTATTTGGACTTAGGTACATGGGAGATATTTTCTTAAAAATCAACAAGTCGAATCTGCCATTTAAGGAAAACTACAAAGTTTTGGAAAACTTGCATCTGTGCCGGTGAGCTTGACAGCTCCCCACCACTTGACAATGTTTCTGTTTGGTAAGGCCAGTGGGGCACAGGCAAATGTGAGTTTGAATGCTGTGAAATCCTGTGGGGGGTGTAGTGAGTGCTGGGTAGACCAATGGGCTTCAAAGAAAGAGCACGAGAAACTCGCTGCCATGATTTCAAATCCACATCGCAATTCACCTTTAAGAAAACTATCACTTGTTGTGTTTGGTGCAGTATCAGCAGAGACTACGAGACCACCTATAGTGACCAGAAAGACCACTAAAATGGTCCTTTTTCTAGCCACGTGTCTGTACCAGGCTGAATTCCCCTCATTTACTTCAACCAAACAACAGGGTAAATGCAGAAGCAGAATGAGAGTCCTGTTGTCTTTTACTAAAGATGCTGTGGCATTATTACAGACATTAAAGAGATCTGTAAATCTGTAAAGCAACACCACTCTTCCTCTTTTTGAGTTTTAGAGTCGTTTTTCATAAAAATGTTATTTATGTTAATATGTGATGGGCTTGTATTATTTTTTAAATGTCTTGGTTTTCATGTCTAACATTGGTTAACACTGAGAACCAAAGCCCACATAAACCAAAGGTCTCTGGGGGCCTCACTAGTTTTTAAGGGTGTGACGATGTGAAGATGTGTACAACCTCTGAGGACTTCCTTGGGTGGTTGCCTCGCCCCCATATGGAGTCACTGGGTCAAGCGCAGGGTGAGGAGAGGCTCGGCCTGAGCAGGAGGCTCTCACATGTGCTTGGGGAGCTACATGATGGTGCCAGGGCAGGGAGGACGTCTGGAGGGGAGGATAGCAAAGGCTTCACGAAAGAGGAGGATCCTGCTCCCGCTGGGTGTTGAAAGGTGAGAATTCCCACCAAAGGATGGGAAGCAGAGGGAACCATGGGCTGGGACAGCACGGGCCTAGGAGGGTTAAAGTTGGGGGGTGAGGCCTGAGGGAAGATGACAAATACTCACGGTCCTTCTGGTGCCCTTCTTCATCCAGATAGATGTTAGTTTTCATGTTCCAGATAAACTGGTGTGCCAGAAGCTGGGATTTGGACGCTGCCCACAGAATATACTCCCGTACGTAGCCCATCTATAGGAGAACAAGGTCACCATCAGCTCAGGCCTGGGCGCCTCTCCACCACAAGACACTCTCACCCAGTGTAGGAGTAGACTCCTAGCACTTGCAGACCCAGCAAGAAGTAAGGCCCAGTGGTTTCGGGCTGTGTGAGCAAGCTTGTCTGGTTATGTGTGAGCCCAACCTACACAGGCCAAGTTCCAGCTGGCTAGCTGGCCGGTGGGGCAGATGGAGCCCCACGTGATGGTGTCTTCAATATAGGAAGGAGCCGGCTTTTGTTTCCCCTGTGACTTCCCCTAGATTCTAAGAACCATGACTCTCCAACCAATTTCTGCTGTTGTCAAGTACGAGGAATGAGTAGGTTGGGGACTAAAACTCAGTTATAAGCTGGTTGTTTGGAACAATGTTCCACAGTGATGGGCAGGTTCCAAAAAAATTCTAATACACAGATACTTCATGAGTTGACACACGATGGCCACTATCCTAAGGACCTTTCCTCTTTCTTCTTCTTAGTTGTATTCTACTACTCATAACTCCAAGTTTTAATTACCCTTTTTTTAAAATTAAAAAATTTGCTTGTTTACTTATTTTTGAGAGAGACAGACCACAAGTAAGGGAGGGGCAGAGAGAGGGAGACACATAATCCAAAGTGGTCTCCAGGCTCTGAGTTGTCAGCACAGAGCCCATGGCGGGGCTCAGACTCACAAACCATGAGATCGTGACCCGAGCTGAAGTCAGACACTTAACCGACTGAGCCACCTAGGCATTCCTTAATTACCCTGTCTTAAGGTTTAAAAAGGTGCTGGCCTTTCTGGAAGACTCCTGGAGGAGTGGCTTCTCTCTTCCTCACAGTAGTCTGTGGCCTCCCATCTGGTAAAGTATTTTGGGGACAGATGTCCTCAACTTGGCTGGGTGGGCTTACCTAGTAGGTCAAACTTCAAATAACTCCTCGCTATGGGTTTCCCACTGCTAACCCAGTAAAAGGATCTAAAGATAAACTATGAATATTCAATTTGTAGTCTGCTTAAATAAAAGTTTGTGGAGTTTCCAAATTGGTGGAGAGGCTGGGAGAGCCAGGCGCCTGAAGAGCGTGGAAACTCCACAGCCTTCCCACATCCCTTGCCCTACACTGCCCTCGCACCTGGCTGTTTGTTGATTATGTCCTTTTATGATGCATCGGTAATCCAGTCAGTTTTGCTGAGACCACAGAAGGGGACTCAGTGCAGTAACGAACAGACTACAACAGGGAAGTGGAAACCGGCAGCTGTCTGAACAAGGAGGAAGTGTCATCAGTCAGAGGCCCACTGAGGCTTCTAGCTTTGGGAAAGGTTTTAGCATTTTATTCTTGTGTGTTCTTTCTTTTTTTCATTTTAAAAAATGTTTATTTATTTTGAGACAGAAAGAGAGTGTGAGTAGGGGAAAAGTGCAGAGAGAGAGGAGAAAGAGAAAATCCCAAGCAGGCTCTGCACTGTCAGCACAATATCAAAACCACCTGCTCAGAATTGGAGGGCTTTTGGCAGCTACCTAGCTAAAACAGGACTCAGTGGGGCGCCTGGGTGGTGCAGTCGGTTAAGCGTCCGACTTTAGCCAGGTCATGATCTCGCGGTCCGTGAGTTCGAGCCCCGCGTCGGGCTCTGGGCTGATGGCTCAGAGCCTGGAGCCTGTTTCCGATTCTGTGTCTCCCTCTCTCTCTGCCCCTCCCCCATTCATGCTCTGTCTCTGTCCCAAAAATAAATAAACGTTGAAAAAAAAAAAAAATAAAACAGGACTCAGTGTTTCAAGAGAAGTTGGCTGCAGTTCTAGAAGCACTTTGGTCTATGGACCAAGACAGAGCATCCTGCCAATCTGGGAGGAAGAAGCTAGCCCTGGGATACCCAGCCACAGTGCTCATAGCCACCACAGTGAGACACAGCACTTGCTGCTACTGCAAGGACTCAGCCAGGACACAGGGGAGTCTGGTGTCTTATGCAGTGGGGAACAGAATCAGCAGGAACAGGAAAGGGGCAGATGTTGCTGCTACACTTAGACTCAAGCACAGGTCAGGGGGCCGGTGCTGGGATGAAGCACGGGCAGTGTGGGTTCTGGGCTGTGGTCACCTCCGGAGGGGTTTCTGTGCCAGGCCCTGTGGTTAGGTATCTTATGTACAAGTGCTATACGTGATGGGTTGAACTGTGCCCCCCAATTCATGTGTTGAATTTGTATGCCTTAGTGCCTCAAAATATGATGGTGTCTGGAGATGGGCCTTTAAAGAGGTGATTAAGTTAAAATGAGATCATTAGGGTGACACTTAGTCCAGTGTGGTGTCCTTATAAGAGGAGATTAGGACACATACACACAGAGAGAAGACCATGTGAGGACAGAGGGAGAAGGCAGCCATCTGCAAACCAACCCTCAGGAGAAACCAACCTTACAGGCACCTTGATCTCCGACTCTGAGCCTCCAGAACAATGAGAAGTACATTTCCATTGTTTAACCCCTCACTCTGTGGTTCTCTGCTATAGCAGCCCAAGCACACTAATACCTCCATCATTTTGTTTGAGCCTCCCTGATTCCGACTGAAGAAACGAGGGAGCTAGATTCAGGGACTAAGGAAGTGGCTAGCAATACTTCTAGGGCCCACCCACCCTGCACAGCAGATGGGGCCTCAGGGTGAGACAGGGTGAGTGGGGCCTCCTGGCCATGAGCACCGGCCACAACCATGGTGGGGGTGTGTGTGAGAGGAGCTCAGAGACCAGGTCACAGCTTGGCAGCCCTGCTTCCAAGGCCCCATCCCTGTTACTGAGGACCCCCTCCGGACTGCCCAGCACGGCTCTCAGAGGGAAGGACAGCACATGTTGGCACAGCCTTACCTTGTCATACCTGAGGGCCTGCACAATCTGGGGGATGTAGAATAGGATAGCATCCTGCAAAGGAGGAGGACAAGTGATAATGACTTCCAGGAAGAGAAGACAATTCCTTACCTCTAGGAAGGTGATAACAAACTCAACACAGATGGCTGTCCCAGGGCCCCACTCAAACCTGGAACAGCCCTGATGTCACTGAGCCCATGGGATACCATCTCACTGGAGATCACAGAGGACTGAGAACTGCGGAAAGTCCAGAGGGTGGCAAGGAAAATGGCCAATGACTTGAAACACATGATGGGTGAGAAAAGGCAAAAGGAACAAGGCTCCTGTGCCTGCGATGACAGGTGAAGTGCCCGCTCATGTATGTTCCCTGCTGAGGACCTGCTTGGGGACAAGGGCTGAGGTTCTAGCAGATCCCTGTGTTGGGACCTCCACGAGTCAGCTACCAAATCTGTCACTGTGGCTGTCTCATGGGATCCCCCGACCTCCCAAAAGCCCACTGCTGGAACCAAACTCAAATTCAACTTCCTTCTGTAACTCAGACACCAAATTAAAATTAAAAAACAAGTAATACCAATAAACATATCTGAGTCAGAACTAAATCTGTCTTCTACGACTGCCTGGACAGAAACAGGGTGAAGACATGCTCTAAGATGGACCGATGCTTCATCAGGCCTGCATCAAGTGGAGATAAAGCTTGTCCTTACTGTCTCCACCTAAACACTGCCAGATAGTCCCACTGAGGCTGATTCAGGCAGGACGTGGGCTCACCGGAGGGAAGGACCGCAGGACTTTCACCCCGTACTGGGCCGTGAGAGGGTGCGGTGGGTACATGCTGGAGAAGTAGGAGAGGCCTGTGGGTGGGTCTGCGGGTGCCCAGCACAGCACATGGCTGAGCTCAGGGGCGTCGGCATCGATGGTGTGCCAGGTGACCAGAAACTAGGAAGGAAGCAGGGAAATGGTCTGGCACAGGGAGTTCCTGAGGGCCCTCTGGAAATACCTGGCCCCACCCCATATCTTAGGGATGGCCCCAGATGATAATAATAAAGCACTTATAATAATGTGGGGAAATACTTCTCATATATTATGTAAAGTAGCATAATTTCAACTAGGGTAAAGTATGTTCGATATTTTTCTGCTGTAAGCATAATAAATGTCTCACTTGAGAAGTGGAAAACACAGGAAATTAGAAACATCATTCTACCACTGAGGCTGCTAGGTTTTCCTAACACTTCTAGGTTCCAGGTGTTTCTGGAGGCAGTTCTGTTTTTGTGCAGTTTGAGCCCAGGCCCCAGCACGTGCTATACTACCTTGATAGCTTCGGGAATGTCACTAACGGCTCCTGGGTCCAACCGAACGAGACGGGTCACTTCGTTGCCGATGGCTTCTGTGTTCTTAAACCTAGGGCACAAAAAGGGTGTGAAGGAGATGGCCTCTCCTGCCTCCATGTAACGGGGTGGAAGAGCCCTGAACTGGAGGGATGCAGATTAATGCCAAGTGACCCCTTAACACTCTACACTACTGACATATTGGTAACTCTGAACATGAGTGTTTACAATAAAGAGCACTATGATTGGCTATGACAAAATGCCAGAACTATCTAAAACAGGAATTATCCTATATTCCGCATTCAAAAGACATCCCCTTCTATAGTCCTTGCTTTCAGAACGCCCCCTTGCCCTGTCCCCCAAAGCAGCCTGTCCATGGCATGGCGAGGCCACAGGCCAGAAGGTACATCCATAGATGGGAGGGTAGATGCAAGTTTTTAGGGGTCATGACCCCAGGCTAACACAAGGTAGACTTTCCATGAATACTGTCAAGCTGTGGTCCTAATCCAGAGGACTGGATTAGAACCAGAAGAAGGAAGCAGTGAGTAGGCAAGTGTGGGCTCAAGGGAAAGAAATGTCCACTCCTGGATGTGGGGTGGATGCACTCCCCCTGGTGGGATTTAACACAGGGGCCTGGGAGGACCCTCTCAGCTACTGGTTTTGTCCTTGGCAGAGCTACCGGGGAGAGTTCACAGGACACTCGGTTGCAGGCCACCTCCTGTGAGTAGCCTGCTGAAGACCTCTGGGAACAAAGCCCAAAGGATCCCCAGGCCTGCTTCCCTGTAGTGACAGCCTCCATGTGCTTCCTTTCTTCCTTGAATAGGACTGCGGCCCTGAATGTGCTCTGTTTCCTGCTTGGGCTCTGGGATATTAGGACATCCCAGGCAGGAATCCATGCTGTGTAACCAACCACTGCACAGAGAGACTGGGTCAACATCCAGGGCAGAGGACCAAACCACTAAGATTGCTTCCCCAACCATCCTTGGCAGTGACCACGTCATGTTCCTTCCCACTCAGGTACCCTTGGACTGGACTCTGGCAAGGCCCTCATCAGGCAGGTAGGACTAGGACCCACCTGGCTGGCAGCTGCACGGCCAGGTAAGGAGAGATGCTCCAGGCAAGGTTAACATTGTCTTTCCACTGCTTCTCGCTCAGGCTGATATATTTGGACCTCCAGTTGGCCACGCTGTTCTCTCCGGCCTGGTCCAGCTCCAACTCCGGGGCCGACAGTGGGTTGTACCATGTGATGAGACGCTCAATCTCAGTGGCCTGGTGAGATGAGACATCGATATGCCATCTGCGTGCACCCATGTGCCACGCTGCTCCTGTCCTCAGTGCTGTGGGCATATGGCAGGTGTCACCTTACCAGCAGGGACAGCAGCAGCGTCCTGCGCTTCATGTAGTACTTGTGCAGCTGGGAGCCCCGGTTAGTCTTCTTGGACATGCCTGTGGAGAAACAGAAGGCACAAGTGTGTTCTTCAGAGTTCACTGACCTACCCTTCATTTCTAGAACCTAGAAGAAGCTGTCTTTCAGCATTCTGCCCACTGTCTGAGCTGCCAGGATATGACTCAGACCCAAGGGACCTATCTGCAAACCTTTAACTGACCTGACTTCTTTGAGATGGTGGACATGCCACTGGACAGGGGGTAGGTGTTGATCCAGCCTTGAGTGGCCTGTTGCCGAGAGCCAACTGCTATGTCCAGATTGCTCCGGGTGTCTTGGTTATCTGTGGGCAAACACATTACTGCTTCCAGAATGAGGTGTCTAGACTTTCACCAAGGGCAGGAAGGGAGAGACACGGTGTTGAAGAAACGATTTGCAGAAAAAAAACAACAGCCAAGATTTTTGTTTTTTTTAATATAAGCTCTACACCCAATGTGGGGCTTGAAGTCATGACCCCAAGATCAAAAGTTGCATGCTCTACTGACCGAGTTAGCCAGGTACTCCTAGGAAGTTTTTAACCATTCAACATGTAAAGCCTACTAAAATGTATTACGTTCCTCCTAGGATTCAAAATGGAATAAAACAAATGTGAGTGGTGATACTGATAAATTACAAACAGCTCTCTCATCTCTGGCATCATGTTGCTTTTTAATATGGTGGCAACTCGGGACCCTTGCCACCCAGGCAGGCAAGAAGAGATGTTGGCCCTGCTCTATGTGGAGCCAGGAAGTTGACTCCGGAAATCACTGCCTGATTTTCCCTTTCCTTTTTTCTTTCCCTTTCCCATTTATTGATAGAGAGCGAGCAAGTTGGGGAGAGGGGCAGAGGAAGAGAGAGAATCTTAGGCAAGCTCCATGCTCAGTGTGGAGACTGATGTAGGGCTTAATCCCATGACCCTGGGATCATGACCTGAGCCAAAATCAAGTCAGACGCTCAACTGACTGAGCCCCCCCAGTGCCCCATCCCTTCCTTTCCCTATAGTCAGGTTGTCAGCTGTGGGTCTGTCTGCAGAAACTGTACTCCTCATCCCTAATTTGTGCTGTGTAATCAGCTATGTGCTCAGAGAAACAAGAACATGTTTCTTTGTGGAGGTTTGTGGCTTGCTTACACCTTACCTTTTCTTTAACCTTATCCACCCTAGCTTGCTCCTGTTCATCTTTGAAGCTCAGCTGTCACCTCTTCCAGAAAACTGTCCCTACCTCCCCAACTCTGGTGGGCCAAGTGCCTGTCCTTGAGGGGTATTCCCAAGATCCCCTCATGCTGACATCACCTGTAGATTTGACTATCTTCTACCAGACGAGAGCAGATGGTGCCTTATTCATCTTGGCATATGGGACTTATCCAAGTATGGGTCTGTCAGATATGCAGGGGGGTGGCTGGTGAACTGGGCTGGTGCTGGGAGAAGTTACATGGAATGGCCTCTGCTCAGGGCCTTCTACACTCATTCATGCTTGTCAGCTAGTGCTGGAGGACAAGTGGTGGCCAGGCAGGCTTTGGGCCTCTGGTGACCATGCAGCATGGCTAAGGCCTGGGCTCAGTGAGACCCTCACTATTCTAACCAGACTCCTTCAGGGCTGCCCACTGCGCCCCACTGTCCCGCCTGCACCTATGTGTCCCCACCACCCACGAGCAGCTGTGCTGAGAACAATGCTCACCTGGGGGAACAAGCTGGCTGGCAGTCAGGTACTTCTTATCAGAGAACATGGCTGTCCAAAATTTAATCATAATGCTTATGTCTTCACGTAGCCTCTTTTCTCCTTGAGTGGGGAACTTTGGGGGGCAACTTCAAACAACCACAAGAGGACAAGAGTTGAGTGCCTGGAGTCTGGGACTAGAAGCCACATGTATTATAAAGCGTGTGAGAGGTGACACAAGTGGTCTCTTAATGACCAAAGGTGAGCCCAGAGCTGGTCATCAGCAACAATTATCTCATTAATTCGCAAGGAAAAGCGTGATGATTTTCTGAGCTTTCATGGTTCCCTCCACCACTATCCCCAGCACCGTCGACAGCCCTTGGCTGCATGGTGTGCTTGTGGTGGGTCCTGCAACTGCAGCTGTCTCCATACAACACAACCTACACACTCGCAGAGCCCCGGGCAGCGGATGATTGCAATTCTTTGAGCAATAACCACTCCTAGGAACTGGAAAGTTAAATGAATGCACAGTTGAGCTGGGGGAAAACGTGTGCATCTCGTAGAGAGGCTAGCTCTAACTAAGTGCACACATGGAAACATGGCACAGGGCTGAAGATGTTCAAATCCTGGACCACCAGAGCCGCAGAACAAGGAGGGCAGTGCATAAATCAGGCAAAACCATTTCTGCCGTGACTTCCTGGGATCTGGGACAACTGGGGGCACTGGGTGCAGTGGGCTGTCACTGCACATGGTGCACAGCACAGCGGGGGGAAGTACCTGAAGTAGTCAAAGGCGGTTGAGTAGATCTTCTCACGAAGCACGTTGCGAATGGTCGCGTTTGGGACCACATCGGCGTGCAGAAGGGCCAGCCCCAGAGTCAGCAGTCTACAAGAGAACACTGGGGGCTGAGTCAGAGTGTGGAGGGCCCAGGAACGTCCCAGGGTCCCTAGCTCCTGTGCAAACCACTTGGCCCTTGGGCATACCTCTGGATGACAGAGCTCTCAGGTGCCAGGACTGTGGCACCAGCCAAGTTACTGCCATTCAGGTTTATTGTACCAGAAATGTCTCAGGAAAGGTTTTTTAAAACCATCACTTTAATTGGGGGCAAATGAACAAGTTGTTTGTTCATCTACCTTGGCCAGAAGCTCGTCTATCTCCAAACTATATGCAAACTACTTCCTGAGTGCAGTCACCAATAAGTGCTACAAAGGTTAGAATATTTAATTCAAGCTAAAAGAAAAATAAATTTACCAAGCACCAAGTTTCTGCCAGGTCAGGGCTACTCAATGGGCATCTACAGATGGTGTTGGTCTGTGATGAGTTAGTACAGAAACTGAGGGGATTACCCGCTCATTTCTATAGCAATTTCACATTGTTATGACAGTCCAGTGTGAATCCTTTCCTAGTAATTCATTCTCATGCATTTTATAAAGGTACAGGTCTATGATGGGCAGGAAATGAAGGGAACAGAGTACTAGCCCTTCCCTGCAGTAGTCTGAGAAGCATGGTCCCAGAGGGTGCCCAGTGGGCTGCAGGAACATGGGTCTGGAGCTCAGGGGAGGGGTGGAAAGAACTGGTGTTGGCAGTGGGCAGCAGGAAGGGGTACAGGCAGGAAGAGTGGCATACTTTGAAAGGGGGCCCCTCACCCTTCCTCCAACTGACCACCCAGGCACCCGAAGGCCCTCCCCACACCAGACTGACCCTGCCTGCTGTGTCCATAGCACCTGGCCTGAGCCTGCCCACTAGGCCACGGACCCCCTAAAGGGGGTATCCCTGGTGGGGTTGATATTTTGCATGTCTTGGCAAAAATCGACTTGCTGTAGTCAGCATGATCAGAAGTTTTCCATGAACATTTCAGAGGAGTAAAGTGACTGCCCTAAGTCACTGCCAGCCTCCCAGTCTGAGCTTGTCATACCTGGGTTCTGCTACATCACCTGTTTTTTAATCACCACTATGTTACCAAAATCCTTTTGCTGCTATCCACCCCCAAACAATTTAGAAAGGCTGCCCAACATTTGGTTGCCCAAGGTCCATGAGTGAACCACCTTCTTGAACACTCCCCTGCTGAGGACAGCATGCTGGCTGACTTCCTCAGCCCTGGAAGGGCATGGAAGGCAAAGTCATTCCATTCAGGTCCCCTTCCCAGGAGCCCTGCATGTACTAGGGGCTTGGTCAGTTTCTGGCAAAAAAAAAAAAAAAAAAAAAAAAAAAAAAAAAAAAAAAAAGACCAAGCATGGGAACCTCCTGTGGACTACAGCACCAACAACTCTGGTAGAAATTTCACCCACACCATCCCTGCCACCATCATAGGAGGAGGAGAGGCTCTCACTTGAAGCGAGGCCCGATGGCTGCCACGTGACGGTTCATGCTCCCCTTGGCCCCACCGATGTTCAGGGACATGGAGCGCTGCAGCAGGCTGGAGAAGATCTCCACTTGGTCGGAGCTGCAGTACTTGGCGATCTCGAACCGCTGCACCAGGAACTGAGTGGGAAAGAGAACATATCGCTGCTGGGGCCTGGCCTGCTCACCTACAGAGCCAGCAGAGCCAACTGATGTGGGGCTCTGGGCCAACAGAATGGTGGGTATGGGTCTTCGGGCAAGTGCAATGAGTCCACCAGAGGCCTGGGCAGAAGGCAGGAACAGCCATCCCTCCTCCCCAGGTAAGGCGTCTTAAACCTGGAGTCCCATGCTTATTGGGCCACTGGCCCCAAGGGGAGCCCCTGACCTCCTGCTAGGGTGGAAGGAGCCTGGGGAAGCACTTACGTCAATCCAAATGTAGTGGGGGGTCACTTCGGGGGCACACGGTTTGGGTTGACTGGCTTCCGATGCTGCCAGGGGGTCTGCTTCCTTTATCTCCGCGGAAAACAGGCCGAACTTCTGCTCCACTGTCATCTGCCAGGCTCCTGCCATCTCCCGCATAAACTGCAAGCATACAATGACCATTAGTGCCTCTGCGAAGCATAGAAAAGTACTTACTGTTGTTTAATTTTAAAAGGACTATGTGCTTAATGAACAAAATAGAAAACCAAAGAAAGTATGAAATAAAAAATAAAGATCACCTATGATCCAACTTCCCAGCCGTTTTCTACTAAAAAGCCCATTCTCGAAATATCAGTAGGCCAGGTGCTGTAGTCCTGCTTTGTGGTGTCAGCACACCTGGGATGTGCCTAATGCCACGTGGACTCTCAACAGGCTCCGCCTGGCTGAATCTTCCTAATAATCCTGAAACCATCTATGGTTCCAGAGGTGAGCAGGGCCTCCAAACTAGCAAAGGCAGGACTGGATTTTGCTTCTGGAGCCCAGTTCCTTTTCTTCATCCCATGCAAACCCTGCACATCAGCTTCATGCCACTAATCAGGCCCAGGGAATAACTGCGGGAGCCAAACTGAGTCTGCAACTGCCACCAGGTGGTTCTACAGGGGAGCAGCCTCCCCTTTTGGCCTGACAACATCAGGCAGCAACATGGAGGGCATCCAGACCTGCTGCAGAGAGGCGGCAACTGAGGCTTGGTGCCCAGGGTAAACGCCCTGGCTCCTGCCCAGTATCCATCCCTGCCTTTATTATGGTTTTATTTAGGGAGGCCAAGTAGCTGGTCACCAGTACCCCCACCCAGGCTTCTGCTGGTTAGGGTGGTCAATGGTTCTCATTAGCAATAATCTAGTGCTGGCTGACATCAACAGACATCGACTGAGTCAAGGTCAGGGCAGCCAGCATCCTCTACCCTCCTTCTTGCTTAGAGGCATGCTAAGGGTGGCAGAGTTGCAAATGTGAGCCAAGCTATCAACAAGCTGCACGTGACACCAGGAACATAGCCCCTGGTGGTCAAGGCATTGTGTCCAGTTTCTGTTTCCTGCAGCCAAATGTAAGTCTTATGTTAGAGGAAGAAACCGCAGGGCTAACAGGCCTGATGAGCCACAGTCAAGGCTGCACGCCCACTCATTTGTTGAACAAGCACATCCTGGTTGCTGCCTCTGGGCCTGGTTGCTTCCCCTCCAGGCTCTGGGAATGGAGCAGTGAATAAGACAAACATCCACCCAGTTTACAGCAGGCTACAGATAGCAAGAGAAGTAAGATACAGATATTAGACATTGATCAAAGCTAAGGGGGAAAACAGAGCCATGAAAGGGCTTGGAAGAATGAATGAATCGATGGTTGTGTGTTCTAGAACAGGGTAGGCAGGGGACAGCTAAGACAAACCCTGAAGGAGATGCAGGAGTGAGGAATGCAGATGCCTGAAAAGAACACTGAAGGAGAGGGAAGAGCTCTCCCAACCTAAAGCAGGAGCACGCCTGGAGGGCAGGGGCAGTAGGGACCCCAGTGCGCCTATAGCAGGTCAAGCAAGGGGAGCAGAGGGGCCTTGCAGATTACAGAAACAAGTGTGGCTTCTACTCTGAGTGGGCATGGGCAGCACTGGCAGGTCTGGGGCATAGGGGGGACCTGATACGACCCATATTTTACTGACTTGCTCTGAGCGCATGTGAAGAAGGCAGAGAGGGCCTGGGTAGAAACAGGGAGGCCAGGGGCTGCCCTAAGTCCAGGGCAAACGAAGGATACTGGGACCAGGGAGCAGGAGTGGGATGCTGGGAAGTGGTCAGCTTCTGGATATACTTTCAAGGTAAAAAGGTAAATCTGACAGGATTTGCTGAGGGTCATTTGTGGTTAGTGCAAAAAGGGGAATCAGGGATGGCAGTAAGGACTTTGAGCAGAGGGAAGGACTATGTTGTCATTCACAGAGATTTGGAGGCAGATGGGTGGAGGTGAGGGGTTAGTTCATTCGTTTTGAGTCATGAATTTGAGCACCATACCAAGGGATCAGCATTCTTTCCAATCTTAGTGAGATAAGGGTCCCAGACTCTCACAAGGAAGGTCTTCATGCTGAGATGAGCCCAACAAGCTCATAGCTCTCTCTCTCCTGTGACTGCAGGAGACATCAGGATTCTATCAGTGATTGTCTCTAAAGTTGGAGTTATGAATGATTTTCATTTTTTTCATTCTGCTCTTATCTTCCAACTTCTCTATAATGAACACACATTGCTTTCATAATAGAAAAAATTAAAAACCAGAAGCCAACAATACAAAAGACACTGAAACAAAAGTTAAGTCTGTCCAAGATGTTGCCGGGCCTGGACAACAGGTCCTTACAGAGGTAGAGACAGGGAATGAGAGGAGATAGGTGGACTTCAGTCCCAAGTGAACAGCAAGAATGATCTGGAGGATATAAAAACCATGCCTGTCTGGACGGCTGAGGAATGGCAGATGAGAAAGCCACAAAGAACTGATTTACAGAGACTTCACCAGGAAGCAGCAAGCTCCAGCAGCTCGTGGGCCAGTGCTGGGTCTGGACACAAGTGAGTGGACAAGGCCTGCCAAAGGCCAAGATACCTGAAGCCAGCAGAGCTCCTGTTGATAGCAGAGGAAATAGATCAGAGTTTAAAAGATCCCAAATGAAACAGCAATTTGCTTGACATAAAAATCCTTTCATGACCCCTCTTCTCTCATTTTGATGGGGGAAGGGGGAAAGAGAGGTGAAATTGGGTAAAAGCAAGAAGAATCCATCCTTTTGGCCAAGACTAACCCCTAGGGGTCAGTGACCTTCATTTTAGTCACCTGACATAAGAAAGATCTATATTCTGGGAAAATAAACAGCAGTGCCCCTCAGTCTCCACTGCTTTTCTTTCCTTAAAAAAAATTTTTTTTAACATTTATTTATTTTTGAGAAACAGAGTAAGACAAAGTGTGAGTGGGGGAGGGGCAGAAAGAGAAGGAGGGGCAGAATTTGAAGCAGGCTCCAAGTTCTGAGCAAATGGTCAGCACAGAGCCTGATGAGGGGCTTGAACCCACGAAATGTGAGATCACGACCTGAGCTGAAGTCGGACGCTCAACTGACTGAGCCACCCAGGTGCCCCTCTACTGCTTTTCTATATACAGAGTCCAGAACAAAACAAAAACATTTAAACACTAAAGAAAAAAAAAATCAACAGAAACAAACCCACAGATGACCTTGATACTAGAACAAACCAGATAAAAATTTTAAAATAAATATTACAAATATGACCAAATATTTATAGGTAAAGATGAAAAGACTAGGTGAAGGCACAGAGAATCTCAGCAGAGAAATACAAACTATAAAAAAGAAACAAAAATTTTATGGGGCACTTGGGTGGCTTAGTTGATTGACTTTGGCTCAGGTCATGACCTCATGGCTTGTGAGTTTGAGCCTTGCATCAGGCTGCTTGCTGCTGTAAGTGTGGAGCCTGCTTCAGATCCTCTGTCCCCCTCTCTCTCTGCCCCTCCCCCTACTTATGCTCTCCCTCTTAAAGTAAGAGAAGAGCACTCCCAGACAAAAGCAGGAGCTTCTTTTAGTAAAAAAAAAACAAAAAAACAAAAAAACAAAAAAACCCCACACACATACAAAAATTCTAGACCTGAGAATTACAATATCTGAAATAAAATATATAGAAGATGGCTTAACAACAGGAAAAATAAGGCATTAGAAAATAGCACTAAACTGGAAGACAGACCAACTAAAATGAACCAAAATGAAATGAGAGAGAGATAAAAGTGAAAAGCACTGAAGAAAACATTAACGATCAAGGGACAATACGAAGTCACCAACATATGTGTGTGGAATTGAAATCCCAAAATGAGACAAGAGAATGGAGAAATATTTAAAGAAATACTAAAATTTTCCAAGTTTGATGAAAAAATCTAAATCTCTAAATTTAAGAAGCTCAATAAATCACAAAGGGATAAATACACAGAAAACCACATACCAAAGGCAAACTATTAAAAATTGAAGATAAAAGGAAACATCCTAAAAGTAACCAAAAGGAAAAACAAAAAACAGGGAACAGAAAAAGGAAATACCCCTTTGACCACTTATCTCAATTCATCTTAAGAAACACAGAGAGGCACCTGGGTGGCTCAGTGGGTTAAGTGTCCAGCTTCAGCTCAGGTCATGATCTCAAGGATGATGGGGTTGAGCCCCGAGTCAGGCTCTGTGCTGACAGTTCAGAGCCTGCTTCGGATTCTATGTCTCCCTCTCTCTCTGTCCCTCCCCTGCTTGCGCGCGCTCTCTCTCTCTCTCTCTCTCTCTCAAAAATAAACAAACATTAAAAAAAAACAACAACAGAAAAAAAGCTGCCAAATTCCCTGTTAATGAGATCTGCAAAAAATACAACAGTTCTTAGGTATTCATCCAATCACCTGAAAGGGTGTGTATCACCTTGCCTGGGGGCTTCCTCCAGTAGCAACTTCAGAACTATGGACACCAGGAAGGCTGCCCCTACCAAAGGTAGCAGGCCAAGAGAAATGTCTTTGTGGACAAATACAAATGCTCCCAATTACATCCCATGTGTTCTACTCTCAGAGAAATGGCTCCCTCTACTGAGATTTTGAAAAACAACAACTTCTGGGCACCACTAGGATCCTTTCAACACACACACATATATATATGTATATAGTATATAGTGTAGTATCTACTGTGTGTGTATGTATGCATACATACATGTATGTATGTATGTGTGTATATATACATGTATATACATATACACACACACATATATATATGTATATATACACACACATATGGTCCCTGTGGTCTCCATGAAGCCTGGTGGTCAGGCATTAATATCACAATCTTACATACAAGGACACTGAGGCCTCAAAGGGTGAGGGGCTTGCCCAGGGTCTCCAAGCTTGTCAGCTAAGCAGCCAGGCCAAGCTCTCTCCATCTCTGATGAGCCCCACCCTCAGGAGCTGAACACAGCCAGTGTCCTACCGGCACTTCCACTCCGTTCTTGCCAGCCAGTAGCCACTCCCAGCAGGCCAGGGCAGTCTCCATGCCATGCTCGTTGAACATCCGGAGGGGACCCCAACACAGATGATGGAGGAGCTGTGGGTCACAATCTGCAACCAAACAAATGTTGTTCAGAAGAAGCTTTGAACAAAGGCTGAATCCTATGCTTGCCTCCCCACATCAACAAGACAGAGCACCAGGTGGGCCAGAGATTGTTTACTTCCAACCCTGGAAAACATCACAGAGATCTCTATTGGGGGAGCTCCAGCTCACTAAGGAAGATGAAGGTAAATACTCATTTCTAAATGAGCCCAGAGTTCCCTAGTGCCTCTGTCTGTTACCTTTGCTGCTGATGAGCATTGCTGTCAGCTTGAACATGGCCTGTGTGTAGTGCTGGGGATTACTGAGATCTAATGCTGTATTCAGCTCCTGGACCATCATTTTGTTCAGGTCAGATATCTGGCCAGTGGCATCTGAGAACCGAATCATTCCATACACCTGCAAGAAGCACACTCATCAAGAGAATCATACATAATCCAGGCATATGGGCAAGGTGTGACTAGAGTCTCACTCTCTCATACTGGAGCTTGTGGGTACAGACAGTGACAGACTTGTTTCAATAATGCTACCACTGCTCACACCTTTCTAGGGAACTTGTCTTTTAGTGCTGTGTGTAGGCATTCCCTTCATTTTAGATGGTCCCTGAGGGCAGAGACCTGGTCTTGTCAATTTCACATTTCAGTAGCAAACTCCAGGTCTGAACCATGATAGGGCTGCATGAACATGGGCTGAATGAATACAATTAGTGACTCAACCAAGAGCATCCTTACTATTTTTAAAGTTGTACATCATCCCCCCCCCCCAAAAAAAAGTATGCTGCTCTCTTATTTATAAGACTTGACTATATAGAAAGAATCTGACTCCTTCCAAAAACCAAACCTACCCCCAAAGACAGACTTCCCACCACCACCTAGGTATCAAAACAGGTGGAACAGGCCCTCAGAGCAATTCCCAGCAATGGAGGATGTAGGGTCAGCGTCAGCCTACTGGAGAGAGGGGCCCACTTGCCCAGGGCCCAGGAAGAGGAAGAGCAACTGCTGGAATGAGGGAGTCACAGAGTAGGGGGGGAAGACCCCACTCAAGACTGGGCACCAGTGGACTTGCAGGGACCTCTAAATAATGGCGTAGACTAGCGTCTGTGTTTTTATAGATTCAGAAACTGAGGCCCCAAGTGGTGAAGCAACTTGCTAGGCTGGGCTAAAGTGTGGCGTGGTAGACAAAAGCCCTCATAGTGATCAGATGTGGTTCCCGACCTCACTCTGCCTATACGACTCTGGCAAGTTACTTCATTTTGAGAACTTCAGTTTCATTATCTGTGAAACTGGAATAATAGTCTGTATACCTTACTAACTGCCCCAGTTAGTAAGTACACAGCACTCAATGAATGCCTGCTGCCACTTAAAAAAGAAAAGCCAGAAAGGGGCACTTGGGTGGCTCAGTCCATTAAGCAGTCGACTCTGGTTTTGGCTCAGGTCATGATCTCACAGTTTGTGGGTTCGAGCCCCACAATGAACTCTGTGCTGACAGTGAAGAGCCTGCTTGGGATTTCCTCTCTTTCCTTCTTTCTCTGCCCCTCCCTGACCTGCTCTCTCTCAAAATAAATACATAAACTTAAAAAAAAAAAAAAGAAAAGCCAGAAAAATAGAAAGCTTCAGCATGGCCAGAGTATATGTACATGAGGTCATTCCTTTGCAGAGGTGGTAAGTGGTAGTCATAAATGCTGCTGGCTGGGCTGGTGAGTCCCAGGGCCCCATGGCTTCAAGTCCACATAAAATGAGTAAGTTCCAGAACCTGAGCTCGTTTTCCACTGGGAGCTGACTGGCAGTAGAGTGAGAGGAGACTTTGAAAGCCTGCGTCAGGATACGCACCTCGCCCGCATAGCGGTTGCGTAGATTCAGGGATGCCATGAAATTGGAATAATCTTTCTTCACACAGGCCGGGCGCTCTGTTAGCTGAGTTGCCTACAGAGAAATATCAAGAATTATTTCAGACCATTACCACATGTTTTCTTTGTGTTCACTATGGCTAAGCTTAAGTCCAATTAAGAAGTCAAGTTCAGATCCAGAGGTTATTAAAAATCTTCTATGCTGACAAGCTAATAAAATGAAATACTTTTAATTTTTTTTTTAACATTTATTCATTTTTGAAAGAGAGAGACAGAGCGTGAGTGGGGGAAGGGCAGAGAAGAGAGGAAGACACAGAATTTGAAGCAGGCTCCAGGCTGTGAGTTTTCAGCACAGAGCCCGACACAGGGCTTGAACCCATGAACCACGAGACTATGGCCTGAGCCAAAGTTAGATGCTTATCCAACTTAGCCCACCCAGGCACCTCAAAAAGAAATACTTTAGAACACCTTCCAGTCTGATAAGAACCACGGAAAAAGAATTTAAAAACAATTTTAGGATGAAAAATTTTCTCTGGAAGGCAGCTTGTGATAGAACTTCACTTTGCCACCCTGACTGCTTTCATCCCAGTGGTGAACAGGTCTTTTGCAAAAGAAATAATCATCAGATCATTATGAAAATCATCATAATCTGCAATGAAAATGCTGTGAAGTTAGTGCTCCCGGGCTGTCTCCTCTGTGGGTGCGTGCTGGTGTGTAAATGTGACTTGAAGATGGTGAATGGTGAAGTTGAGAGCATAGTGACAGTGAGCAGAAGCCAGCAGGGGCTTGGAGATACCCAACAGCTGCCAACAGTCTAAGAGCGGAAGACAAAAGGGGCGCACTCTGAGTACAACGGCAGCCCACAGGATGGGGAAAATATTTTCAGACCCCCCTTCACTTCCTCTGCTTCAGCTGCACCTCCCACCACTCGGGGTCCTGATGACTGCTCTCCCTTACCCTGGCTGGTCACTGCTACCATGCTCCTCACTGCCCTTCCCAACATCACTGAAGACTAAGAACATGCACTGAAGATGACCTTTCACCCCTTTAGCGCCTTTTACTATAAACCAACAAAACCTATCCACTTCTTGACATTCAGGTCCCATTGGGGAAAATGAATCTCTCAATAGTTGAAGTTTGAGGGATTATTTTTTTGGAGGGAGCAGGCAGGTAGGGAGAAAGAGGGTCAAGAAAATAAAATATGAAATTTGGGAAAACATAAGCAAGAACAAAAATACATGATTTTCTCATAAAATTATTAAGCTGGTCTATTTTGCAAAAGGTCATGTAACACTACATTTTTTGGAGACAGTGTGGCCTATGGCATCAAGCAGGCCTACACTGGAACCTGGCTCTGCCACCAACCAGCTATGACGCCCTAGGGAGGCCACTTGCTGTCCCTTAGCCTGAATATACTCCCCTGCAAAATGCGGAAAACAATGGCCTTCTTACCAGGGATTCCGTGATATCTGCGCAGCCCCCAGACAGCAAATGGCCTGCACTGCAGCCTACCTCCCTCCCTGGTAGAACTACTCCAACTGCTTTGGCTCAGACGTCTGGTGCAGTGTGATGGGGAGGGCAGCCCTACAGGAGTTTTCTGACAGTCTCTATGCAGCAAGAGCCACTGGCCTGAGACCATGCTTCTCAAACACCCCCTAGAAGCTGCTCTTCCCTGAATACCATGTGATGGGGAGATGTCACTCTGGTGGCCAGCAGGCTCCTGTGCTTTTCATGGAGCAGGGGCAGGTTGGCCAGGATCTCCATTACAACCAACAATCAGAACACACAATACATATATCCTTTCCTCCTCAGCAATAGAAAAGGGAAAACCACACCTAAATCTCTTTTTCTACAAAAAAAGATTTAAATCTTTTAGGAAAAACTGACCTCTTACAAGCTAGCCTAGAAGAGGACAAGGAGTTGTCAAAGGCATTCTAAGGAGTGCCCACTTCTGGCCTCTGCTTGTGTCCTCAGAGTGGTGGAGAGACCCAGCTCAGGGAGCTGATCTTACGCCGCTGGGCCTGGCCTGTAAGCACAGGGTGTACTGGTGACACTGGTATCTTCAGAGAACATGGAGTGACCTCTGTGAGAGCTCTGAGGATGACACGGGCTGTGAGAAGACACTGGCTACCTGTGGCACTGCCCCAGGCTCCACAAGGAGGCTGAGAGCCCCCAGCCCACCTAATGGGCTCCTCCCTTCCTGCTTAGACTTGTGGCCATGGTGAGAAGTGGCAGCGCCATCCTCCCTCCTCTGCACCCCCACCCTATCATGTCAAAGACATGATAAAAGACAGGCGGCAGCCTCTCCACCTCTCCACCCCGAGAGAGTTAAGAGGCACAGAGTTAAGAAGCACATAGCCACACTTGCTTGAGACAGACATCATGGTAGGCCCTAAGGCTGGGAGACACTGACATGCAACACCGCCAGTCAGATCACCTGCTCTCAATCTGCTACTTTGATCCGAAACTCTGATTTAACTAAGAAAGCACTACTTCATGGACGTGCTGCCCTCTAAAGTGATCTTCAGTGGAACAAGACCAAGTTGAAGATGTGTGTGCACATATGCTTTGGCACCTGCTGAAACAGGAAAATCCAGCAAATGTTTCCAATCAACATGACTATAAGATAATGCTGACCTTGTCTCAAAGAGATCAGTTTCCTTCCTTGTGGATACACAGAAATCCAAATCTGATATCATTAATGAAGCAAGAAACAGTAAGGATGGGGAGCCTGGGTGGCTCAATTGGTTAAGTGTCCGACTTCGGCTCAGGTCATGATCTCATGGTTTGTGGGTTTGAGCCCTGCATCGGGCTCTGTGCTGACAGCTCAGAGCCTGGTGCCTGCTTCAAATTCTGTGTCTCTGCCCCTCCCCCACTCGTGCTCGGTCTGTCTCTTAAAAATAAATAAATATTGAAAAAAAAAGAAAAGAAAGAAAGAAACACAGTAAAGAAATGCCTGTTCTACTAACCTACTCTCTCTGAACCTGAGTATCTTACATGGGATTCCAATCTGCCTACTGCTAGCATGGCCGCATATATCAGAAAAAGCTACATATCAGCTTTGGTCTTGCCCCTCATATTGTGGCTCCCATTGCTGAAGGAGACTCCTGTTCCTCAGGAGGCACACACATACCCCGAGAGTGGTGTTCTGCTTGTTGTAGCCGGCAAAGTGAAGGATGCTTTCGGTGGCCATGGCCAGCCCCGTGTGCTGGGACAGTCCTGATACCCAGTTCTGATGTTTGTTCAGATATTCCTGAAGTCGGAAAAAAAAAAAAAAAGGCTGTTTTACTTTAAAGGTAAGAATAATACTTTATAAAATAAAGTGTGAGGTAGTAGAGCAAACATTGGTTCCAATGTTGGGTTCATCCCTTGCTGTGGGACCTTCAATAAATTAAAGCCCCCCCTTCCCCAACTGACTCTTGCTCATGTGTGAACGAGGATGATTTCCCCAGAGTGGCAGGCACACAGTAAATGTGACAGGACTGTTTATTCTTTGGGCACATCCTTGCTGAGAATCTGCCACCTGCCAAGTCCTGTGCTAGATACCTGGAAAACAGTTGTAGAGTTCTGGTCCCACTGTCAACACGCAGGCAGTTGTACTGCTTGCCTGAGCAGCCCTGCTGTGAAGGAACGACCCAACAAACAGCTGGAAGGCAGAGTAAGGGCCAGAATCTGCCTGGCCAACTAGTGGAAGGGGACACCTGGCAGAGCGTGGAGATGTGAGAAGGCCTTCTGCTCTGGGGACCATCAGGGGTCAGGGGTTAGCACTGCAGGAGCACAAGTACAAGGGCTAGATGGCAGGCAGCCAGCCTGGGCCAGAGATGGGCCAGGCCTGAAAGGCCTTGTGTGCCAGGTGAAGGAGTTTAGAGTGAGGCACAGGACTCCCCTCAGGAAAGTGCATGTGAGCACTGACTTACAAAATTGTGCCAGTGGTTTTGGAGGGTTCATAGAGCCCCAGAAACCCAACCACGGACCCCGTGGCGATGGGGAGTGGCTAATGAGCAAAGGTAGCAGATTTGCTATTGACACCGGCCCAGCATGGTGGATGACTCAGGACAGGCTACAGTGACGTGCCCAGGTGGGTCGGGGCCACTAAGGGTAGGCAGTGAGGGCCTGACAGGAGGTGGGGTAGGGTTCAGACAGACTAGATGTCCAGGGGAAGGGAAACAGAGCCTGGGGCAACACCAAAGGGAGGCCTGGTAGAAGTACCAAGACCAATTCAAGCCTCAAGCTTGTTCATTTTCCACTCCTTTCTTAGGCCATGGTTGAAGAAATAAACAGCTCTCCCAATTAAGGCCTTTTTTTTTTTTTTTTTTTTTTTTTTTTTTTTTTTTTTTTTTTGCTTAATGAACCCTTTTAGGAATGAAAGGGGCTTCCCCTCTTTAGAGCTCAGCCTTGGGAGCTGATGCCCCTTTCCTCCATGTGAACCAAAAGAAAAGTCAGTTCCCAAAAAGGAACAGTTTGAAAAAGTACCACAGTCTGAAGAATACTAGTGTATCCACTAGACAGTGACAGCTGTCAAGCTATAGGCATGGCCTAGTTACAAGGCCCATCGCTGTCCAGCTTAGCTGCTGAGTGCCTGACAGAAGGCTCCATTTTTTTCATTTCCCCAATTGCTCTAACCTCACCACTCCTACATCTTTCTGGAAGGAAGAACTTTAAGGCAACACAAGGCACCACCCATGGGTTCTTGCAAAATGTGTTTCCAAACAGCCTCTAAGCTGCTCGGTCCTTCCTGGATTCTGAACACAGAAACACTTTGGAACTAGCTTTATCTTGACAAATGTTGCTGAGGTCAACTTCACATGCTCCTCTAGATGCAACTTCTTTTTATTAAGCCAGATTTCTTCTAGTGGGATTTTTCTTATCTTTGATTCCTTTTCAGGTGACTTTTTCCTCTCATGAATTGTGGTATTTTTGGTCCATCTCTGCTTGACCAGAATAATGGCTCACTTTGTAGTCATTTGTGTTCACACGTCAGCACTTTGGTCTGCAAAGGCTCATGTCCAACTCCACATACAGCCTGGATAGGGCTCTAATGGGACAGCAGCCTCACTCCAGCTCTGGCATTCGGCAGATGCTACTAGACTGGCAGGCCTCCTCGCTCGCGCCTAGCCTGCCACACACCTGGCACCTACCTGGTGTGAGTGGTCAGTTCTCTGGGCCTGCCTGCCCACAGATCCCATCGCACCTGCCCCGCTCACCCACAACCAGTACCCTTACCCCACAAGGTGTTCCTAACAAATAGCGGCCTCTGAGGCCTCTGTTATTCCCAGACACTAGACTAATGTTTTTGGTCTCTGTTTATTCACATTAGCGCTGTTTCTATTTTGAGTTCGCAGTCTATGAAAGTTCTCTGGATCACTGGAAGGAGCTTAACAAAATTGCTTTTTGGTGATTTCAAGAAAGTACCTGTAAGTGGGACTTGGTGACCGTAGGTGCCCACTTCATTGCCTCCTGTAGGATCATTCCACAGCGCGCCGCGAAGTCCTTCACGATGCTCTGGAAGACGGTGTGATCAAGCCGAGGTCAGTGTATCTGGGCTGTCAGAGGATGTCAGCTACAAACTGTATTTAGTTACTTTTGAGGGCTGAAGTGCATCCCCCTAAAATGCATGTGTTGAAGCCCTAGCCCCCACTACCTCAGAATGTGACTGTATTTGAAGATGGTGCCTTTATTTTTTTTTTTTTTAATTTTTTTTTTTCAACGTTTATTTATTTTTGGGACAGAGAGAGACAGAGCATGAACGGGGGAGGGGCAGAGAGAGAGGGAGACACAGAATCGGAAACAGGCTCCAGGCTCTGAGCCATCAGCCCAGAGCCTGATGCGGGGCTCGAACTCCCGGACCGCGAGATCGTGACCTGGCTGAAGTCGGACGCCTAACCGACTGCGCCACCCAGGCGCCCCAAGATGGTGCCTTTAAAGAGGTAATTAAGGTAAAATGGTATCATATGAGTGGACCGTAATCCAATCTGACTGTGTCCTCGTAAGAGAAGATTAGGACACAGGCACAGAGGGAAGACATGTGAGGACACAAGAACACGACAACCATCTAAAAGCCAAGGAGAGAGGTGTCTGAAGAAACAACCCCGCCAACACCCTGACCTCAGATCTCCAGCCCCCAGCACTGTGAGAAAATAAATTTCTGTTGTTTAAGCCACTCAGTCTGTGGTACGTAATCATGGCAGCCCTAGCGAATGATTAGAGTGACTATGTTCTAACACTGAGCCTTGGGGTATAGGGCACAGACATCCTGGTCTGTGGTCCTGGTGTAAGGCTGGGCGGCAGGGCCTACACTAACAGTGCCTCACACGGCCACTGGGCAACATATGTCCTGAGTCATTAACTGAAGGAGAACGCAGGCCATGGCAGGTAAGAACCGGTGCAGGGGCCTCGTCACCGTGTGGGGAACTCCCTGCCCACAGCTGGAGGCCCAGAGGTTGGGACATGACCTGGCCCTAGGTCTGAGCTGTGGTCTGCGCTGAGCTTCAGTCTGCCACCATGAGGGCTCTGAGTCAGACTCACACAGCACAGCCTCCTTATCCGGAGCTACTTACTCCATCTATTTCCCACAGCACCACAAAAGGCGAAGTCGTTCCTCACTACCACAATGACAGGTAGTCTGCACACCTCACAGCAGTGAAGTTCATCTGACAGTCATACTTGCTCAGGCAGCTTTGAGAAGCTATAAACTGACAGGCAGCAGAAAACCTCTTTGGCAGCTGAACTAAGAAAGGGCTTAGAGTCAACACGGCTGTGGGGCAGGAGGAGGCTTGGTAGACAGTCCCAGCTGGGAGTGAGTCAGCACCCCACTCATATTGTGAGACTTTCTCTCCTGCGGGCTGGGAGAGAATGCTCACACCTTAAACTTCTGGGGACTGAATGACACAGTGTGTGCAATGTGCCAGCCCTGACACTAGAGAAGGCAATGAAAATGGCCGTTAATTAGGAGACGGCTGCCACCTACCTCTCGGGCTTCACAGGTGTCTGGAACGGTGATCCGATAGGGGGCATCAGGAATGTCGTAGTAAGGCTGGTCCTTGTGAATGTCCTGAAAACAACCAAGCTCCCTTTTCCAAACCACCTTCCCTGGGTGCCTCTGCTCATGCTGGGCAGCGGTGTTTGCCTCCATTCCCCACACCTGTCCGGTCTGTGACAGGCTTCCAAACTTACTACAGCTCATTGGTAAAGGCCAGGACAGGATCTGGCCTCCCCACCCCCAATTTGGCCACTTGCAGCATAAATTAGGCTCTGGTATATGGCAGGGACACTCACAGCGCTCAATGACAGTGACAGGGTCTGGAGGATGTCCAGCATGGTCTTCAGCACTGTCCCGCTCCAGAGCAAGTGGGGAAACCTGCACAGACAGCCATATCTCAGGGTCCAGGAGACAAATCTTCAAGGAATCTGAGTTCCTTAAAGTGCTGCCTCGAGGGGTGGGGCAGGGTGGGGTAAAAGCCCCACCTCCTGCTGCCCAGCTGACGGTTGGAGGAGGTCAGGAGGTCTCCCAGGCAGGGCACTCTGTCAGAAACACCCCCTAGGCACTTGCCAGCCCCACTCTTCAGAGCCTAGATGTGGCCTCACGTGACCTGCTCTCAACCTAACACTGATACTGGCTGGGACATACTCCCTCACTCCCCAAAGTGATCCTCCTTGTTTTTGACCAGGGGTCCCCAATATTTTCACATGATGGCAAAATAGAAAATGGCCATATTTGCAGGACACTCTAGCTCAAAGAGAAGAAGCTGCTCCTGGATGTGGTGGCCAGGGTGAGGGGAGCAGACTCCGTATAGCTGTGACTCATCATGGCCCTCTGCTTAGGAGGTCCAGCTCAGACACATGTCATATACGTGCTAGACTTGCTTTCTGGCCCTGCCTAGACCAGGCGCACAGCACCTGCAGCAGGCTCCAGAACTCCTGGACGCTTGCATGGAGCTGAGGGCAGGCCCAGCGTGGCTGTTTGCTGCCTCTGGCCTTTACATTGCAGACAGGCTGGTCCAGCCCACCTTTGAGGGTTCTCGTCCATGTGGGGGCATGTCCCTTGAAAGTCTGCTTTGGCTCCCAGCACAGAGAGCCTGGAGTGGAAAAAGGTCCGTGTGGGCTCTCCTTCCTCTCTGAGGAGCCTGGAAGACACTGATTCTACCAGGGACCTCTGGCTGGGCTCTGGGGTAGGAGGTATCGCTTAGGATGGCTGTGAGCTTCCCAGAGTGAGCCCAGAGAGGCCCTGTGGCAGGGGAGGGTGGGATGCAGAGACACAGAGACATGACACCCCTTGTCAGGAGCTGCACTGTAAGTAACATCAATAGCTCAGAATAAGTAGAGGTTTCAGGTACCAAACTTCAGACCCTGCAGCAAATTCCATGACATTCTGAGGGAGGCCGCATTGCCATTTGAGAGTTTAAATTCTGACTCCGATTTTGCTGCATTGATAATGTAAGGATGGTTCTTCCCTGATTCTAAACCTAGAGGCACGTGCACACATGCGCGCTCACACACACACACACACACACACACACACACACACACACACACACACACACACACACACAGCATTAGAAGGAAAATGAGCTTACTTATCCACTAGACCAGACAGATACTTGTCTGCCACCCTCCGTATCCTCTTGTGAATGTGGTTGAAGTTCACCAGGAGAAACTGCGCATGCCGCTCCAGCTCTTCCTCATTTTCCTTGGTCTTAGCCTGGAGATTCAGAAGAGACAGGTACAATAGGCGCCCTCCACATGCTTCCAGCAGACACACGCTCGCGCTCTGACAAGGCTTACTTTATCTGCCATCATGTTTAGGAAGGCATCAAATACTTTGTCTGCGACGGCAATCACACACTGCATCATCCCTGAAATGAGGAGGGGGTTTCCACGGGTCAGAAGCATCAAGAGAAAGAGACCGATCCCAGCTACTTTCAAACATAGTGTTTAGAAATGATTTTGGATTACAGACAAATGGCAGAGAGAGCACACAGTTCCCACATACCCTGGACCCAGTTTCTCCTGATATTAGCAGCTCAACTTGTCAAAACTAAGAAGTCGACACTGATATACCATTAGCTCAACTTCAGGCTTTATTTGGATTTCCTGTTTTCCCACTAATGTCCCTTTTCTGTCCCAGGATCTAATGAAGATGCCATGTGGCATTACCCATCAGGTCTCCTTTGTCTCGCACAATCTGTGCTGATTCCTTGGTCTGTTCTTGCCTTTCATGAACCTGACACTTCTGAAGAGAATAGGCATTTTGTAGGATGTCCCTCAATTTAGGTGTGTCTGATGCTTGCTTGTGATTAGACTAAGGTTACAGGCTTTTAGGAAAATCCCACAGAGATGAAGTGGTCTTGTTGCATGGTAGCAGGAGTGTGTGAAATCAGTATCTCCTACCACTGGGGAGGATGACCTTGATTGCTTGGGTACAGTGGTGTCTGCCAAGTTTCCCCCTGTCCAGTTACTACTTTTCTCTTTCCATGCTCTACTCTTCAGAAGGGAGTCACTGAGTCCAGCCCACACTCAGGGAGGGGAATTAAGCAGCAGCTCCTGAAGAGAATGTAGGCATAAGAAAAACCGCCACGGTAACTGGAAAATACCCTGGGTAAGATACTTAAATGTGTTGATTTTTTTTTTTTTTTTTTTTTGTATTAAGTAGGCTCCACACCCAGTGTGGAGTTCAATGCGGGGCTTGAACTCACAACCCTGAGATCAAGACATGAGCTGAGATCAAGAGTCAGATGCTTAACCGACTGAGCCATCCAGGTGCCCCTGGGGAAGATACTTTGAGGTCATGCAGACATCTCATTTCTCTTCAAGATTTTGCCCACATTTTAGTATCTGTCAGCGGGATGTGCTTGCAGAAGGCACTCTGGCTCTCACTAGGATTTTGTTTTCTTCATTCTTTCTACTTTTAGTAATTGGGATTCTATAAGGAAGTTCTGTCCCTCTTTCCCCATGTTTGATGTATTCAATCATCTAATCAGTATAGACTCATAAATATTTATTTCAGTCACTGGGTCATAATCCAATACTGTCATTATTTGCTGCCCAAATTGTTCCAGCTTTGGCCATTGAGAACTCTTTCGGGGAGACTCAAGTCCTTGTGACATGCCCACATCCCTTTTCTTTTCTTCTTCCTTTCCTTTTCCTTTTTTTCCTTTCACAGGACCTTCCTTTCTGGCACTACAAGGTGTCCCAGGCTCATCTTGTATTTTCCCTGCCCCAATTCTCTGTAGAATCAACCTTTTTTTCCTTGGACACTTGGTTCCTTTTAATGCAGAATGATATTTAGAAAGCAAGATCTGAGCACTGGATGTGCTTGTTGCCACCAGAGTACAAAGCAGATTTTTTTTCAAGTTTATTTATTTTGTGAGAGAGCGAGTGAGTAGGGTAGGAGCAGAGAGAGGGAGAGACAGAGAATCCCAAGAAGGCTGCACACTGTCAGTGCACAGAGCCCAGTGAGGGGCTTGAACTCATGAACCGTGAGATCATGACCAGAGCTAAAATCAAGAGTCAGATACTTAACTGACTGATCCACCCAGGCGCCCCTACAAGGCAGATTTTAATTTTTTTTTTTTTCAACGTTTATTTATTTTTGGGACAGAGAGAGACAGAGCATGAACGGGGGAGGGGCAGAGAGAGAGGGAGACACAGAATCGGAAGCAGGCTCCAGGCTCTGAGCCATCAGCCCAGAGCCTGACGCGGGGCTCGAACGCACAGACCGCGAGATCGTGACCTGGCTGAAGTCGGACGCTTAACCGACTGCGCCACCCAGGCGCCCCACAAGGCAGATTTTAAAAAGCAACGGTACAGCACAAGCATCACAGTGCTGATGTAATAAAGTGCTGCTTGCCCACCAGTGCTGTCCCACTTATCCACTGTCCTTTTTTTTTTTTTTTTTAAAGATTTTATTTGGGGGTGGCACAGTTGGTTAAGCATCTGACTCCTGATCTCAGCTCAGGTCATGACCTTACAGTTTGTGAGTTTGAGCCCTCCATTGGGCTCTGCACTGATGGCATGGATTTTGTCTCTCTTTCTCTCTGCCCCTCTCTCACTTGTGCGCACGTTCTCTCTCAAAGTAAATAAAAAAAGTTTTAAGATTTTTTTAAAAAGTCATCTCTACACCCAATGTGGGGCTTGAACTTACAGACTCTAGATCAAGAGTGGCATGCTCTACCAAGGGCGCCAGCCAGGAGCCCCATCCAGTGCCTTTAGGCTGGCTAAATGACAGGGCTGTAAGGTCAGCAGGGCAGAGAGATAAGGAGGTGCTGCACCTCTGTGCCCCAGGCAAAGCACAGAGCTGGAAACACAAAGACGCATCGCATATGTGTTTTTTATGAGGATAAATGGGCCCCCAAAGCTCTCAGACATGGAAAATGATTAGTGTGACGTGGACAGATGCCCAAACAGGGAGAGGCTACTTTCTCAGAAGTTGGGTTGGTGGATGAAATCTTGTTTGGAGGGGTGTGTTTAGTGTAGTATCTTTTCATATAGCTCTTAGGAAACTGAAACTGTAAGTTTCTAATAAAAAACAATCAGATAGTAGTGGTCAGATGCCAATCATCAACGCGCAGTAGCCTCTCTGGAGATTTTTACTTAAAAACAGCCACTTTGCTTTTTGCACTTTCCTTTTACACTTTAGCTTGGGACTACCTCGGTCTTAGTCTGCACTGACTGACTAGGCAGCTGGCAGGCTGCATTCCAAGAACACATGGAGGCTGGGCTCACACCTGCACAGAGGAGGTGCCAGCCCTCCCCTTCGCAGGCTGCTAGATGCTTCTTATAACCTCCTTCCTGCTTCGTTCTGAAAACTCATGAGTAACACATCTCCATAGACATGTCCTTCCCACCTCTCATGTTTTAGGAGAGAAAAGGAAGAGGAAAGTACACTCAGTAAATATACATTTATTGGCTTAACCTAAGTGCCATACTCAGAACAAAAACAAATAACCCATTTGGAAATCATGTGGAAGAGTATGGTGTACTGTGAAAATTAAAAGTGTCCATAAGGTGCACATCAGTTCCCAGTGCAATTATGACACAGTAACAGAAAAAACAGACCTTAGGAGAGAGAGGACATTTAGCTTTAGAAAGGTATCTTATTCTGTCTATAGATATTCTCAATAGGAGGCTGGCAAAATGTGGTAGGTTCTTAGGCCCCTTTGGGCTAGGAATCTCAATTTTTTTGTTGCCTACCTTCCCTCCTAGAGCCAAAGAAGCTCAGGGTGACCCAACTGTTTAGCACAAAACAACTGTTATATAAACAATGGGCATCTGGGTGGCTTGGTCGGTTGGGCCTCTGACTCTTGGTTTTAGCTCAGATCATGACATCACAGTTTGTGAGTTTGAGCCCCATGGAGGACTCTGCACTGGCAGTGTGAAGCCAGCTTGGGATTTTCTGTCTCCTTCTCTTTGTGCCCCTTTCCTGCTTTCTTTCTCAAAAATAAATAAATAAACATTAAAAAACAAAACAATGGGTGGATGGACAAGGGGAACAAATCAATGAACAGCTCAGTCAGTGGTTAACAGTGTCTCTACTATACTCTCAAGTGGTCCTTGGGCATGTGTGTGGGACTCTGAATGTGGGGCTTCCTCTTCCAGTGTCTACACCCTGGTGGGAGGGGTTTCCTACCATACAAAATTGCCTGCCTGCACCTCCCACCATGGCCTCTAAAGAGCTCCTCCTCCTCTAATCCTTCCCCCTACTGCCAGCAGGGGGAGCTTCCAGAACCCATACACTCCTTCCTTGCCTACTCCACAAAAATAAATAAACGCACCTAATTTCCTGACTGTCATGTAGGAGTGATAAGGGTTCTATAAAGGACTTATTGGACAAAGGTCTTACATGAAGCAGCACCTCAGAACCTTGGGGTGATTTTATTTTTTATTTTTAAAAGTTTTATTTTTACGTAATCTCTAGACCCAAGGTGAGACCCAAATTCACAACCTGGAGATCAAGAGTTGCACTCTCCACTGACTAAGCCAGCCACGTACCTCCTTGGGGTGATTTTTAAAAGGATTTCTTCAAGGACTGATTTTTCAACAATAGGAAAAATGGCATAAAAATTATCTGGGGATTAATTCTCTACTGGCAAGAACAAGTTGATAGATTCTTCAGAGTGCCAATGACTTCTGGCATGGAAAGGTCTCCTCTCTACTTAATAATAAATTTATTGATTTTAAGAATTGTCAATTAGCAGTCTTTGAAATATTTACCCACACAGTTAATCAATCAGAACTCATGGCCATAATGTACCCAAATATTTAAGCACAATTATAAAACTGATCAAGTTCTTCTAAGCATATAATTAAAACATAGGTCTAACATTTCAGAGTCTCTTATATTTTTAAACACTTTAAAAATCAACACAGAGACCAATGCAATGATGCTTAAAACCTGTCAGTGTCCTTATACTCAAACTGGTTAAACAGTGCCTATACTATGCATTTAATTTTTTTCTTTGTTATCTTTTTTTAAATGTTTATTTTTGAGAGAGAGACACAGAGTGTGAGTGGGGGAGGGACAGAGACAGAGAGGGAGACACAGAGTTGGAGGCAGGCTCCAGGCTCTGAGCTGTCAGCACAGAGCCCAACGCAGGGCTCAAATCCACAAAGTGTGAGATAATGACCTCAGCAGAAGTCAGACACCCAACGGAGTCACCCAGGTACCCCTATTTTTTTTTTTTAATGTTTATTTATCTTTGAGAGAGAGAGAGACAGAGAAACAGAGAGAGAGAGAGAGACAGAGAGAAACAGAGAGAGACAGAGTGTGAGTGAGGGAAGGGCAGAGAGAGAGGGAGACACAGAATCTGAAGCAGGTTCCAGGCTCTGAGCTGTCAGCACAGAGCCCGATGTGGGCTCGAACTCATGGACCGTGAGATCATGATCTGAGCCGAAGTCGGACGCTTAACTGACTGAGCTACCCAGATGCCCCTGTTATCTCAATTTTAATAGCTCTTCTTATTTTCATTCCTATTCTTATCTTAGGTTTGCCCTAATAGAATTCCAGTAAGTATAATATTTTAGTACCATCAGAGAGTTTCAATTATTTCTCTGTTTTCCCAGGAGTTTGCTTTTAGGACTGGTTGCAGCTGAGACCCTCTGTGCACTCAGGATCTGAGGACATTCGCATCATAGGACTTGCAAGTCTTTGTGTTTCATATAGATTTTCCTATTCTGAAACCTTCCCAGAAATGATGTGGCCCTTAAATCAGATGTTGCCCACAGGTCCTGACCTGCTGCCCTGACATTCTGACCTGGCCTGATGACACCACTGGAAACATTCATGGTCCTGAGCAGGGTCTCCTTATAACCAGCAGGACTACTGAGGCATGAAGCCCTCGTGGAAGGTCTGGGTATCCTCACAATGAACTCTCTAATAGCTATTCTCAGCTAACAGAGCACTTTTAACTAGCCATTCTGTGGGATGTCTCTGCCTATCACCTGCTGGGCACCTGTCAACTCTTGGAGACCAGGCATGACTTTATCGTGGGTGCCACGTCTCTCCTTGAACTGTGTAGCTCTTTCTTTGTGTTCCCTCTTTCCTGATTACATAAGAGAAACAACAACCTATCTTTACTTCACAAATACTTAGTGGAAAAAACAAACATTAGATATATATATCCTATGTATTATGTTATCACTACATATCATATATTGTTATGCTAATGTGTGTGTATATACACACACATTAGCATAACAATATATATATATATATGTTTTTTAGCATAACATATATATATGTTTTATATATATATATATAAAACCTAGTATATTTGGATATACACATCCTAGTATATTTGCCCTTCTTTTAAGCAAAATATGTATTCATGTTCAAATTATGATACTTTGTCCACTGGGAGTCCTTTTATTTTTTAAAATATTTATTTTTGAGAGAGAAAGAGAACGTGCAAGTAGGAGAGGGGCAGAGAGACAGGGGGACAGAGGATCTGAAGTGGGCTCTGTGCTGACAGCAGTGAGCCTGATGTGGGGTTTGAACTCATGAACTATGAGATCATGACCTCAGCCAAAGTCAAACGCTCAATCAACTGAGCCACCCAGGCACCTAGGAGTCCTTTTAAATTGGTTCTTAGTCCTCTTTGCCTGCTCTGGACATTTTTCCTATCTATCTACCTATCTAAACATTTATTTATTGGGGGGGAGGGGCAGAGAGAGGGAGACAGAGGATCCGAAGCAGACTCTGCCCTGTGAATGCAGAGCCTGATGCAAGGCTTGAACCCATGAACCATGAGATCATGGCCTGAGCCAAAATCAAGAGTCAGCTGCTTAACTGACTGAGTTGAGCCACCTAGGTGCCCCTACTCTGGACATTTAAAAAGTATAACTGCTCCCTGGCAACAATAAGATGCTCCAGGTTCATCAATGATTATTTGAGAAGCCCAGGATCCTTTCAGCATGGGATAGTATTAGAGACTGAAATTTGGGGGCTAGAGCATACTCAAGCATTGTGGGTAGGCAAGAGTGATGCTCCTTAAGGCTATATGGTTATGTTATACATTTTTGTTATTTTAAAAAAATTTTTAAATATTTTATATTTTGAGAGACAGAGACAGAGCATGAGTGGGGGAGGGGCTGAGAGAGTGAGAAACAGAATCTGAAGCAGGCTCCAGACTCTGAGCTGTCAGCACAGAGCCCAATGTGGGGCCCGGACCCACAAACTGCGAGATCATAACCTGAGCTGAAGTCGAACGCTCAGCCAGGTGAACCACCCAGGTGTCCCTTGTTTTTTAAAGGCAATAGAAGTTTACTAAATATACTTCAAGAGAGTGGCAGGCAGGACAGCAGAGAAGAGGCTGTCTGCCATGAGGCAGTGGTGTGGGATACACTGTTAAGGTTCTGTTTTATACTGACCTTTCCAATGTAGTATGTAACTTCATAAAACTATTTTCTTCACAAAGACAGAAAATTGGTAGTATTCCTTTTTATACTATTAAAGCTCAATTCATCATTAGAGTACCACAATAATCGACTTACCAGATTTGTCTTTCTGAATAGCTTTATCTTCAAAGTAGCAGAACATTACCTGGAAGCGGTCAGGATCTGTTGAACGTAGTACCCTAGCAAGGAGAACAGTTTTGAGTAAATTTTAAAAAATCCAGGCCCTCCCTATCACAGATTTGGTACTGCCCAGAACTGCTGAGGCCATGAGGAACCAAGTGTCATAGACTCACATGGACTTTCTGGAGGACAATATCCACCATCTGTCATAACATTCCCACACTGTTCACCCAGCAACCCACCACTAATGATGCATCTTAAGGGTAACGTGCACAACAGTGCTGGCTGAATGTTCATCAGTAGGAGACTGGTCAGCTACACCAAAGTACACCTATTCAGTGGCACAACATGCAACCACCAAAATGAAAGATAACTCCAGAAAAACATCGAAGATGCACTATTACATGAGAAAGCAAGGTGTGGAGAAAATGGGTACAGCATAATGTTAGTGACAGGTTTCCGAAAGGCCTCCATGTGCCTTCTGTGTGTAGGATATTTATGTTTGCATTTAAAATTTCTAGAAGGAAAAGTAAAACTATCAATAGCGGGTATCTCTGAATTCAGGGCCTGGAAAGTAAGACGTGTAGTTTTCATCTTTAGCGTCTTCTGTACCATTTCAATGTTTTCCTTCTTTTTTTGGTTTATGCATCGTTTTTATTTTCAAAGTAAAAAATATCTTTTACTTTGGGGCAAAGACAGAAAAAGAAATGCATGCACTTGAACCATAGTCCCTGTGAAGGGCCATTCAGAGTTTGGGGGGCTCCACTAAGATAGTGCGGCACATGTGCACACAGGCAAGCACTTGGTGGAGTCTATCTGTGGGCTTCTGCACCAACCTTTTGTGAGTCAAACTGCAGTAGGGCAGGCTGTGTGGCTTTAAGTGCATGCATTCTCAAGTGCTCACGTTCACACAGCTTTTATGTAATTGCTCACGTTGTCCACCTCGCTGTTTTAACATTCTCCTAATAACCAGTGGCTGGGAGTCTGAGCCAGGTTCTTGAATAAAGGCTTCAGGGTTGCTTCTCTGTGCTAACAGTGCTCGCAGAGGCCTGGCAGGCAACCTGGAGTGGGAACTGGGTTCTTGGGAGCTGCCTGTGGGCCGTCCCCTTATGGTCCTGCTCTACCAGCCCACTCAACAGCCTGGCGTGAGACCCTATTCGTGGGCACACTTGTGGGGAAGCAGGAGACAGCCCTGCTGGCGGGCACATGAGGCTTAGAGGGTCCGGAGACATCGCTTGTAGCCATTCAACTTAGGAGCAAACAAGGTTTTTGATCTGTGTTGGTTTGCTTGTTTTGTTTTGGTTGGGTTTCTCTTTGAAAATGTACTCTTTATGGGGCGCCTGGGTGGCGCAGTCGGTTAAGCGGCCGACTTCGGCCAGGTCACGATCTCGCGGTCCGTGAGTTCGAGCCCCGCGTCAGGCTCTGGGCTGATGGCTCGGAGCCTGGAGCCTGTTTCCGATTCTGTGTCTCCCTCTCTTGCTGCCCCTCCCCCGTTCATGCTCTGTCTCTCTCTGTCCCAAAAATAAATAAATAAACGTTGAAAAAAAAAATTAAAAAAAAAAAAAAAGAAAATGTACTCTTTATAATAAAAAGGATGAGAGAAAACTACACTAAGATGCTATAGGGAATGGTGGTGAGGTGAGTAGTTTTTCCTCTCCACTTATTTCCAAATTTGTGTGTAATGTTCTATTACTTTTATTAAAAAAAAAAAACAAAACAAAACTGTAATGAACAAAGAAAAGAAGGTCAAAAGCTCCTTAGCTCTGTGGGACTTTGGGGGAGAATCGTTCACTAGTTTTTAAATTTTGCTCTGTTGTGGTACCCTCAGGCTACCAAGCGGCCGGGAAAAGAGGACAGAGCTGGAAAGTAGGGGCTCACTCCCACTTACCCAAAAGAGCCTTAATCTAGGTTATATGTTGAGCTTCCTAGCAAGAGGTCTTTTACCAGAGGCTTTCATGGCACCAAACAAAGGTTTAAATAGTGGCATTTCCCAAATATTCCCCCTTTTAAGAACTAACAGTTTACTTTTCAAACCATTTGGTAAGGTTTATCCTATAACTTATTACACCTATCATGTGACTTCAACAAACAGATTATGTGTAACCTGACTTTTTTTTTTTAAGTTTATTTATTTTTGAGAGAGAGAGAGAGAGAGAGAGAGAGAGAGAGAGAGAGAGAGAGAGAGAGAGAGAGAGAGAGAGAGAGAGAGAGAGAGAGAGAGAGACAGAGCATGAATGGGGGAGTGGCAGCCAAAGAGGGAGACACAGAATTGGAAGCAGGCTCCAGGCTCTGAGCCATCAGCCCAAAGCCCGAAGCGGGGCTCGAACTCACGGACCGCGAGATCGTGACCTGAGCTGAAGTCGGATGCTTAACCGACTGAGCCACCCAGGAGTCCCTAACCTGACCTTTTTTGATGACAGGGATGCATCTTTCTGTAGCTAGTGTATTCAGGTGCAGCCCTATGGTGCCTCAGAGCTTACCATGGTGAGTCTGTACCATCCACATAGGCAGCTGGGCTCTGGGCATCCTAGCTGCTTCCTCCAGTCTTCATTTACAAGAGGCAGCATGGCACAGTGCTTAACAGACTTGGATCTCAATCCAAATCAGGGTTTATTACCTTGGATAACTTACTTAACTGTTCAGTGTCTCAGTTTCCTCATCTGTAAAATGGGTATGTAATAATGCCTACCCCATAGGCTTGTTGGAGAGTGTGTCAATACAGGCAACTTAGCACAGTGCCTGGTATGGCATAAGCACTCAATCTGTGTTAATATTGGTGTTGTTATGATGACAATTATTACAGTTGTTAGGTCTGCTATGGTTACATATGTATCTTGAGCATCTGCTAACTGTGGGACTGTTTTGGGACAGGCCCCTTCCCATTTCCAATTTGCTATTTGTACTCAGCTGTGATCCTGGAAACAAGTTCAATGAATGTCTTAGACCATTTTCAGTGAGGGCTGATCCCTAACAGGGGCTCTTAGTCAAGTGGACAGAGTTTGCAATATCTATCGTGATGGCTCAGAAGCCTATTCCCTATAAGGAGAGGATAATAAGAGAGTTATAAGATGTGGTGTTTGGTACTCAGGAGGGAGGAGCACACAAGAAAAGCAGAGGGTGTTTTTGTTTTTTGTCTTTTTTTTTTTTTTGAGTAGCAGGCAAAAGTGTATTAGAGTATAAGATTAGAAAGTAAGAATAATAGGAAAGCTCTCTTTACAGAGAGGGGACATTTGAAAGTGACTGCCTCTGTTTTTTGCTTTTTAAGAAAGCTTACATGTCTTAGGAGGAACTGAAGAGTCCCACCCCCAGAAGGCACAAATATATAAAAATTAGCTCCAGGGGCTGTATTGGGAGGTAAAGGCCTGTATACCTCATATATTCCAGCCGATAAACAGACAGGAGATAGGTGGACATGGCAAAGTCCAGCTTGTTGATGAGGGCGGACACTTCGGGGGCAGGGTCCAGCAGGTTGATGATGGTGCTGCGGAGCTCACTCAGTTCAGCCTAGGAGGAAATAAAAGGCTCAAGGGCTCTCACACAAGCACCTGGAGGGGAAAGCGGCCCTCCTCCAGGAGAAGTAGATAACATGTGATAACAAGGACAAAGAAAGGATCTGCCCATTGTTCAAGAAAGCTTAGCAAAATCCCTGCCCTGCATCATCTATCCTTGGCAGGGTGAGAATCCTTACAGGGGTGACTGTGTCGTTTTTCATGGCCGAGTTATACTGGAGGACGGAACGCAGTGGTTCTTTGCTGGGAAACGTGAGCAGGGGTGACTTGGTGGCTATTTCACAGACCCCTTCGTACCATTCTTCTGGCCAAAGTCCTGCAAGAGAGTGCCCACAAGTGAGACCACCACCTTGCTCAAGAATCACTATAGAGCAGTTGACAATGACCATTTCTACAGTCGTGGGTCCTTTGCTTGAGCCAATTACCCCAAAATGGGGCACAGAAATGAGTTTGTCTTCTAACTTGGATGGGTTTTTTTCTAAGATTCATGGTATTCTTAGAACCCTAAAATACATCTGGGAAGTATAACATTTGCATACACACTTGTAGGAAGCAGCAGCTGAATTTGAACTAATTTTGAATGCATACACATTCATAATTAGGTAGAGTCCTACTTCCACCTTTGTTTTCACTCTGCACTCTTGTCTTCCCCAGAAGAGCAAGTATTGCCCTACCTGACCCCTCCACTGCGAATCCCATCAGCACAGAATAGAGCCAGAAGTCCCGGAAGAGCTTCTGCAACCGAGGTTTGGCTTCTTTGATGGGAGGCAACCTTCGGGTGAGCTGATATACCAAGGACAGAGGGAGAAAAGGAAGTTATTTGCTTGTAAGCCCTAAAACCTACAGATGTGAAATCAACCACAGATTCATTCTCCAAGAATCTGTCAGTCATTTTGGGTAGGAAAAGACACACTGAGCAGTGACCAACACCTCTTGATCAGTTCACTGGTAAATACTCACCCATTCGGCAAACACTTATTGAGTAGCTAATCTGCACCAGGCACCATGCCTGGGAGGTGAAAAGCCCCATTCCTGCAGAGGACTTGCTGCCTAGTTTGGAGGCAGGTGAGGAAATAATCACAGTGTGGCAGAGATCCTGGAGAAGGTGTCATGGGTCTCAATGTTACTATGCAAGGAACTCTTAGCCAGGCAGAGAAGAGAAAGCAGCCCATCCTGTGTAGAGCATGGAGGGCCTGGGGAGGCTGGAGCTCAGGTGAACAGTTGTGACTGAAGAGAAAGTGTGATCGTGAGAAATCTCATGGATCAAGGAGAAGTGGTTTTCAGATCTTTTCTGGCAGCGCAACTTTTCCAAACAATAATCTTGGGCAGAATCCCAAGATGTAAAACAGGTATAGGCAGAGTTGCTTAGGCGCAGGAGTGAGAGGCTGAAGTCCCTGCATCCTTGCTCCAGGTGGTGTCCCGCCCAGTATAAAGCAGGCAGTAGCTTGCAGTTATGCAAAAAACGTTAAATTTGCGCACAGCACCTCACCTATTGGACAAATTGGTCCTCACAGAACCCCCAGAGGACGTCAAGCCTCCTACGGTGATAATCAACCTACGATGAGGGGTCTCTGCAACACAAACATTCATGAGTGCCAAGTATGGGCCAGGGTCATGGGGTAGGACACATGATGATAGATACCATTGCTGGCAGGGGTGGGGGATCACAGAGAGAGATGGGCACCTGAACCCATGACTGGTAAGGACTATATAAACTGGTACACTATTTCCTGGAAAGCAATTTGGTAAAATGAATAAAAAATTCTAAATAATCCCATCATTTCACCAAAAATCTCCTCTCTAGCAATGTATCCAAAAAAAATCTGAGTTAGGCACAAAAGTGTTGTAAGATTTGTTAGAACAGAAAAATAAATAAGGGCACCTGGGTAGCTTAGTCAGTTAAGTGTCTAACTCTTGACTTCAGTTCAGGTCATTATTTTACAGTTCTTGGGTTCAAACCCCAAGTTGGGGACTGTCAGCACAGAGCCTGTTTGGATTCTCTCTTTCTCTCCCCCCCATCCCTCCCCCTGCTCATGCTCTCTCTCAAAATAGATAAACTTAAAAAAAAAAAAAAAAGAGTTGGACGCTTAACTAAGTCACCCAGGCACCCCTGGATCCTGGATTTTAAAAAGCTATCAAAGAAAAATATGGGGCGCCTGGGTAGCGCAGTCGGTTAAGCGTCCGACTTCAGCCAGGTCACGATCTTGCGGTCCGTGAGTTCGAGCCCCGCGTCAGGCTCTGGGCTGATGGCTCAGAGCCTGGAGCCTGTTTCCGATTCTGTGTCTTCCTCTCTCTCTGCCCCTCCCCCGTTCATGCTCTGTCTCTCTCTGTCCCAAAAATAAATAAACGTTGAAAAAAAAAATTAAAAAAAAAGAAAAATAAATAAATAGTAAATAAATAAATAAAAAGCTATCAAAGAAGTCATGGAGAAATCTGACTGGGATATGTCTGATATGAGAGAGGAGGATTGATTTTCCTAGATGTTAACAGTGGTGCAGAGTAGGGCAGAGACCCTTCCATTTAAGAGACAAAGCTCCAGTACCCAGGGCTGAAGTGTTATGACCTCTACAACTCCCTTTCAAATACCTCAGGAGATACCCTCAGGGGGCACGCACACAGGGAATTAAGCAGATAAGGCAAAATAGTAACTGTTTTATCTAGGATGCTGGTATATGGATGTCCATTATTCAATTCTTTCAATTGCTCTGTATATTTTTAAATTTCATAATAAAAAGTTGGTGGGGCACCTGAGTGGCTTAGCCAGTTGGTTAAGCATCCAACTCTTGATTTCAGCTCAGGACATGATCTCATGGTTCCTGAGTTTGAGCCCTGCGTTGGGCTCTGTGCTGACAGTGCAGAGCCTGCTTGGGATTCTCTCTCTCCCTCCCTCTCTGCCCCTCCCCTGCTTGCTCTCTTTCTCTCTTTCCCTCTCTCGTAATAAATAAACTTAAAAAAAATTTTAACAAAAAAAAGCTGTAAAACATATCTAACCATAAGGCAAGCCTTGTAACTAGAAAGAAAACAATGGAGTATGTGTGGCGGAAGGTACTGATTTACAGTGGGGGCCAAAACTATACACCTCCATTGGGATACAGATCCAAAACTGTCAGAATTGTCAAGAAGGGCTGTCAACACTCAGTTACATGATCAGAAACCTAGATATGTAAGGGGCACCTGGGTGGCTCAGTCAGTTAAGCATCTGACTTTGGCTCAGATCATGGTCTCATGGTTTGTGGGTTTAAGCCCTGCTTCAAAATTCTCTCTCTCAGCCCCTCACTCACTCACACTATCTCTCTAATATAATAAGAATAAAAAAAGAAATCAAGCTATGTAAGAAACAGTATTGATTAGTTTAAAATAATCTAAACAATATATACTCATAGAAAAGAAATTTCAGCAAAGAAGTACGTAGAGTGAAAAAGGAACACTTTCCACCTGCCTTCCGTGTCCAATGTTAAAAGCTGGCTGCATCTCCTTCCAGACCTTTCCTGTGAATAAACTATGTGTGGTGAAAGTGATAATAGCTAACATTTACTGAGCATTTACTAAGTGCCGGGTGCCATTCTCTGTGCTTTCCACACATTATTACCTCATTTAATTTTCACAGCAACCTTATACAGTAGGTATAACTACTGTTTCAGAGAGGAGAACACAGAGGGCAGGAGGTGGGATTCCTGTCAGAGTAGCCAGTTCAGCCTTGGTGAAGCCCAGAGCAGATGGTGTGAGCACAGCAGCCATGTGGTGGTCCAGAGAGACAACTTCCATGCAGAAAGAACAGCCAGTGCTAAAGCTCTGGCGGGGGCCAAGCTTAGTGTGTGAGAACAAGGTAGAGGTGGAGGGAGCTGGCCTGGAGCAGATTATTAGATCCCTGAAGATTCCAGACAGAGGTAATGGACACTCTGAGCCAGCGTAATGGTGCCCACACTGAAGTCCTAGTACTGAGTAGGAACGATGAAGATTCTGAGAAAGCCACGTGTGAGTAAAGCTAGTGAGTGCTAACCTAGACCCAAATCCAGCCACTCTTGCCAGGTCTTGAACACAATGGACAACCCTTTACATGCCAGAAATTTCTCGAAATGAGTAACACACAGACGCCCTGCTATGGGCTCCTTAAGAGCACCTACAGAGTCCCCAGAGAGTTATGTTCTCCCTTTAGAGGGTCTCTGGGTGACAAACACACTCTCAGGTACCAAAATCAGGGAGCAGCACTCTGTGACAAGTTGGTCTTCTAGGCAATCCAGAACATTCCTATAATAACATTTTATTTATTTATTTATTTATTTATTTATTTATTTATTTAGTGAGAGAGAGACAGACAGAGGGAGAGGGAGAGATG